TAAGTGAACAAAATACATTAGCAGATAGGTCATGACTTTAGAAACCTAATAAAATTAGTTTCACAATTTTTGATTAACTACATAATTTTATATTAAATTTACAAGTTTACCTTAAAAACTAAATTAGAAAATACATTAGAAAAAGGAAAGGGCCGGCAGCGACCCTTCAGGCGCGACAGTCTAGCGCGGCGTAGCTGCGCGCGCGCCGGGGCGGCCCAGCAACAGCGCTTGCGCGCGACGACGTCTTTACAGAAAACCCCCCGTGCTTCTACATAATAACATGACTACTATGAGCACTATTTCTACCGTCAGTAATCTAGCAATTATACCCTCGGATGTCTTCGCCTTTACCACGAGGAGATCCTTGGGATCTCCGCGCCCGCCAACGTGGCGGCTGACGACACAAGGCGGTTACGCCGAGCAAACTAGGCTCGATACGATGGAAGTGAGTGGTCGACCACCATCTACAGCTAAACACGCAAGGATGGGCGGCGGTTAGGGACTCAAAGACGCCCTGTCGCGGGCTGCAGCGGTGACACGACTGTTCTGGCGAGCCTACGCCCTCACAAAAGGTAGAGATGGCGGAGGAGCATCCATAGCTCACCGTGGTGCATGCCCTACTGACGGTTGAAGTTGGGGAGCGCTGCGACGGTCTGGCCACGGGCGACCGAGCAGGGCGGCGGCGCTCTGCGAAGGACACCGGCGCGTCACCCCACCGACGACGAGCACCCTGGCCAAAATAGTGTGAGCATCAGATAGGGGGAGTCAAGGCAAGCTCAGGGTTATGAGCAATCGAACTGCTACCACTCCTACATGCCTTACCTCCCAACCAACTGATTCGGCGGCGCCCACGACCGGCGGCGAGCGAAACACCAAATTGTCGGTCGATAGGGCATAACTGAGCTTGAGGGGAAGTATATGGCTAGCCTACTTCCTAAGCTTCCCGCGAGAGCGAGGAATTGAACAGCGAAGTCGCTGGAGTTAGGCAATTGGAGGGCGGAACAGTAGAGCTCTAGCCACGGCCCTGTCGTGGAGAGTGCACCAAAGCATGGGCGAGCGGATTAAGGTGGGGCGGCTCCATTTGATGACGACAGCTCGAACACGTGAGCGTAGCTATGGTTTATGGGCTTGGCACGACACATTTGAGTGGAGCGGCAACACCCGAGCGGGGCTCACTAGCGTCGGCTTGTGGCGAGGTAGGGAAGCATCTCGTCATCACAGCGACTGAGGTCGACGACCGAGGCACGGCGGCAGCAGCACATGTCCAAAGATTCGACGCGCGCGGTAGGTAGGATGAAGGGCGAGACGAGCGCCACATCAGTAAAGCGGTGACAGCCACGGCCCTATGCATGGCTCAGTGGCTGGCGTTGGCACGCGCACACTGCGGCCGGGTGACTAGACCACTGCCAACCGGGTTGGGCCACGCTAGACCTGGACGCACAGGCACGGGCCTGGAGCACGCGCGGTCAGCGTCCGCGGCATGGTCGCAACGTGACCCCGGCGCCACCACGCTGTGCCCACGGTGACCGCGAACCCAGTCCGAACGGCTGCTATAGGTGACGTGCACGTATTTTAAAGCGAAGCGAAAACTACCAACGATCACAATTGAGGCCCAACTAATTCCCCTATCCTAAAGTCAAGATGACTAGTGACCCAGCAAAGCCATCGACATGGCCCGAGAGCAACAAGAGAGGGGAATAGAAGGATGCCAACATGAGCTCGTCACGCAGAATGCCGGTTCATGAACGAAACCCGACACAACCCCAACACCGCGTTCTAGTGAAGTTAGGGCAATTTTAGAGCGGACAACGTAACATCCAACACAAATGTCGACCTATGCCATGCTCAAGCACTCACTTTGATGCAATCAACAATACCAAAACATGCCACTAGTGTTTAAACATTTTTTATTAGAAATTAAATGCCAAAATAGCATTGTCTACCACCCTTCATACTTAGAAATGTTAAGGTTTTCAGTTAGGACCAAGTAACCATTAACTCTTTTATCGTAATTTTTAATAGATCTAAACCTTGCTAACCTCAACCAATAAATACTTCATGCCAAAGTCCATACCTTATACTAACATGTGGGAGCAAAATATTTAAGCACTATTTAACTATTTTGCTCAATATAATTTGCCAAAATGGTATTTTAACAATAGTTCAAAGTGTTTGCCGACTTAATGAAAAGAGCTTATCTTAACGTCAAGTTTGATTTTAGACCTCCCAAAACACTAGTTAACAACATCTATTTTTCAAAAGTTAAAGCTGCATTGTTATCTACCAAGTTTATACTTCCAACTTTATTTAAGTGTCACATACATGTTCTATAGTATTTTTGCTTAATAAAAATTAGTTTTAAACCCTAAATGATATAACATGACTATTGAATCAACTTTCGTTTAGCACTTTTGTTGATTGTTTTGAGTACGGAAATTGATCTACACACTTTACCATATGCATTGACACATAAACATGATGCTCATGACATAGTTTAACAAGTTGTTTAAGCAGTAACACCGAGGGTGTTATAGCAGGCGCTGAAAGGGCTCCTCTGCTGCTGCACTGTAGCCGCGGCAGGGACAGGCGCCGAAAGGCTCCCCTGCTGCACTGTAGCCACAGCAGGGACAGACGTCAAAGTCAGCCCTGCTGTCACATCTAGTCACTATAGCCTGGCATGTCTGTGTACTATAATTAGATGTGTAGAGTTGTATATGTAGTTTCCCACTGCAACTCAGTGAAGGCAGTTCAGTTTGCCACATCTTGAAGCAGAGCTTTCGGCCAGCGCTGAGCTTACTGTGTGTGTGCGAGTTGTTCTTGATCAATATCTTCTTCTAACTCTAGCCATAGTGAGTGAGTGTGCTAGTAAGCTTAATGTTTAGATGTGCAGGGCAGCCGAGGGACCATTATTTCTTATCTTTTCTTATATATACTATTCTACTACATTAACATGTCAATTTTTTCTTTACCCATGCTGGATAAATGCAGTATTTTTATGCCATGCATTTTCATTCATGTTACCATTTATCTGAAATCAACATAGGTAGAATAAAAAAAAAGTATAACTGGATCGCCTTCACCCTATGGTAAAAAACCTTACAAACTGATTCCTCTACCACTTGTGTAGAGACAAGTGACTAATGGAGGATTCCAAGGGAGAATAAATAAGCCCAGTGATACCTGCTATGCTTTTTGGTAAATTCAATTTGCAATCAATGTACTAGTTATGTGACAAGTGAACAAGACCTGAGTAATTTTCTTGCTTTTAATTTCACTGAGTCAATCTTTCGAGCATCATTTTTACAATTTTTTTGGGTTGGAGGTGTCTTGAAGATCTTGGGTGCTTATCGCTTGATCGATAGCTGTGCTCTGCGGGGATTTTTGCTCACCTGCCAGTCACCTGTAATTGATCTCAAATCTCTTCTGTCAGCTTAATGCCTTGATCACATTCTCAGATAACTCGTTCACTGTTGCAACAGTATGGAGGCTTCACAAAATTCCCAGATGATCGGATACCAGACATCTACCATTCTTACTATGGCCTGGCAGCCCTTTCCTTGTTGGAAGAGGAAGGGCTCGAACCCCTCTGCGTCGAACTGGGGATCCTCTCCGCTGCATTATAGAAACTCGCATTTCTACCGAATCCCAATTAGTCTTCAATGTTTGGGGTAATCCAGTACCTCATACAGGCTATACAGCTGAAAGCCAAGGAAGTAATTTACAGATAGACTTTAGTCGCTGTCCCATCGGATGTTTAGACATATGCATGGAGTATTAAATATAGACTAATTACGAAACTAATTACACAGCTTGCGACTAATTTGCGAGACGAATCTTTTAAGTCTAATTAGGCCGTGATTTGATAATGTAGTGCTACAGTAACATATGTTAATGACAGATTAATTAGGCTTAATAAATTTGTCTCGTGGAGTACTGACGGATTCTATAATTGTTTTTTTATTAGTATCCGAACACCTCATGCGACATCCTCACATGACACCTCCTAAATTTTAGTCACCGGATCCGAACACCTCCTACGTTGATCTATGTTGTCGGTGTGCTTGTTTGGCTAGGCAGATCATGTAACATTACTTTGTGAGTTCTAAAGATGTGTGATAATTTGTTGCAAAAGAAGTGCGATGGGCATGCTAACCGAACTGTCTTCTTCCCAATTAGTTGAGCTAATTGTTGACAGTTGAGTTAGCTGAACGGTTTTATCGTCACTTGGAAGGCTACTCGAATGTTTGATGTTTCTCTATATTCGACTTGTTCAACTTCTTTTTCTAGTTAGAACTGTATTTTTCTTTCACAACAATTCAGTCAAAACAGTATTTTCAGTTAGTTTCAGTCAAAATTCTGACAGCTGAATAGGGCCCTCTTTAGGCATCTGCACACTCAGCTTTTCTCCCAGAATTGAGGTGAAAAATCAGCTGGAGCTCTGGATCAAACAGCAGCTACTGTTTTGGTCACAGGGTTACCGTGACTGATATATAAAGATTGACGACTGCCGATTGATAAAAAATGTACCTTTTCTTGGAGAACTGAAAAGGAAAGAAAATAGGAAGGGCATGTTCATTGTACAAGTCCAGTACTACACTACTACTACACTTGTGTGACAGAGATTCGCTGGTCACACGGATGGAATTGGCGCCGGCGGCGGGCTGGCGGTTACGCAGCTGCAGCAGCAATAACTCCCGCTGCCCACCAGCTCACCTGTCGTCCATCCACCCCGATCCGATTCCAATTCAATACCAAATTCAATCCGGGCAGTGGTTGGCCCGCCGCTGCCAGATCGAATCGGACTCTCAATCCGTGTCGTGTGCAGCCCACCGCAGAGACGCCGAAGCTATATTTCATGCCATCTGATCTGATGCGTGTGGCGTCTCTGCTTGTACTAGATCAGCAGTAGCACAGCTCAGAAGCCTGGTCAGAGTAGCCAAGCCCACCCCAGTCCCATCCCGGCGTCTTCTCCCTCCTCAGTCCTCACCGCGGCTCCGGCGATGGCGGGCGTCGGCTCGGCGGTGCGGCGGCTCTACCTCTCCGTCTACAACTGGGTCGTCTTCTTCGGATGGTCCGTTGCCTTTGCCCCCGCTGCGTGCTCATCTGTTCTTCTTGGGTTCCGGATGGATCTTCCTCCTCTTGCTCCGTTGGCCGTGTCTGGGTTTTGATTCGGTGTTTCTTTGATCTGGGGGTGTCGCAGGGCGCAGGTCCTGTACTACGCGGTCCTGACGCTGCGGGAGAGCGGGCACAAGGCCGTCTACGCCGCCGTCGAGAGGCCGCTGCAGTTCGCGCAGACAGCCGCCGTCATGGAGGTCAGCTGGTTCTTTTTCCGCACCCATTTTTATTTAGCAGTGCTTTGGTAGTGCACTTCAGTTTGCTTGGTCACAGTAAAGCTGTAAAGTTGGCCCAATTTCATATTTTTGCTCAGCTCATGAAGCCTGGATCTATCCTAACAGGAATGATTACTGCTTTAAAGTTTGAGTAAGGATACTACAAGCAAAATTGTCTTGTGGTTCTTGGTAGGAAGAACTGCTAATTAACTAGATTGATGTGTGCAATTACATAAATTCTACTTATGGTCGCAGCAAAATCTTGCACTGGTTCAAATTCAGTAAGGGCCATTTGGATCCCTTCATTTTGGAGGAATTGAAATCTACATAATGGATTAGGCTATTTGGCTTGGAATTTGACATTCCATAACTTTCCCAAGCTCACAAATAAGCCTATCTCAAATTCATAGGGAGGGAGATGGAAATAGATTCTATAGATCACTATGCTATAATTCTATTCTCTAACTTATATCACACTCTTCAACTCACCTCCCTACAATAGAAATGCAACATATAGGTATGTCCCTTGTATGCCTAACAATAAATATACAAATATATTCCATATACAACTATATTAGCTTAATTAATCTATGTCTAAATTGTAATTATTAGAATGAATTCAATTCTAAGGATCCAAACGGGCCCTAGTATGTTTTTGCTGTGCTAGATAAACTCTGTGAAATTTCTAGTGCCGTAGTTCAAGTCCATGTTTTACCCACATGAAGATTGTGAGGTACTAACTGACCTTTCTGTGTTTTTCTGGTGGTGGCGATGTTGGTGCTTCAGATTCTTCATGGGCTTGTAGGTACAGTGATGTTGGTGGACATGTATCCCTTTTTCTTGTTATAAGTCCATCTACTCAAAACAGTATGATACATAAACATCAGTCTAGATCTTGAACACATCAGACATTTTATTTATCAGAAAGTTTCCGAGGAGGGTTAGATATAAGAAAAATATGCTTTCTTCACTATTGCGGTATTGCTTTTTTGTCACTATTCTGATAAGTTTGTCTTCTTTATAGGGTTGGTGAGGTCTCCAGTCTCTGCAACTCTTCCACAGATTGGATCCAGGTTGTTCCTTACATGGGGTGTCTTGTGGAGTTTTCCTGAGGTATCATCACTAGAAAGTCTTCATGTTTTCATATATGACATCCATTTATTTTAGGAATATGTCTTAATTTGTTCATGAACTTTAGAGTTTCCATTTTGTAATTTCGTATTTTAAATTAGATACATATCAATGTGTTGGTGTGTTGCTGGGGTCTTGACTTATGACACGGTTCTAGGTTTAAAAGCATTTGCTAAATTTTGTGACTTTTTGGACTAAGTTAAGGTTAGCCAATTATTTAATTTTCAAGTCCGATAATGGAATAAGCAACTATGAGTATGCATTGTACAAGTTTCAACACCAGGCACATTAGAAAAGGATATTGCATCCTATTTCAATTTTTTCTATTGTGAGTAAACAATTGTATTATTTCTTGACAGTGTGAACCTTGTTTTGCAGACCCAGTCACATCTTCTTGTTACTACCCTGGTCATAAGCTGGTCTATCACTGAGGTACAAATCACGTTAATTACCATTGAATTCAGTACTTTATTATATGTTGCTATAAAACCTAGAGTAAATTTTGTTATGGTCTGAATTTCAAAGTAATCTTAATAGGAATTGCTGGTTTCTTGCAGATCATCAGATACTCATTCTTTGGAATGAAGGAGGCATTTGGCTTTGCACCTTCCTGGTTATTGTGGCTTAGGTAAATTTGGATTTGCTCCAAATCTGGAGAGTAATCTTACCACCTTTGTCATTGAAGTTTCCCCTAAAAGTGTTTTTGCATACTGATTGTCTGCAGGTACAGCACCTTTATGTTGTTGTATCCTACTGGTATCTCTAGTGAAGTTGGTCTGATCTACATTGCCTTGCCTTATATGAAGGTACACTGATCTTACTAGAAAACTGAAAAGGTCCACATGTTGTTCAGCTTATAACTATCGTTTTTAACTATTTTTTTTGTGGACCAATTTCAGGCATCGGAGAAATACTGTCTTAGGATGCCCAACAAATGGAACTTCTCATACGATTACTTCTATACATCTATTCTTGCCCTCCTGATTTATGTTCCAGGTAAGCCTTCCCCCTCAACCGACCTCCATTTTGCTATTTGCATTAGTGTCTTATAAGAAGGTGCTTTGTTTCACTTTGGACCACCGCAGGAAGTCCACACATGTACCGTTACATGCTCTCACAGAGGAAGAAGGCACTATCAAAGGCCAAAGCGGCGTAATGCTGCTCAAGGGCTCTGTAGAATGGTTTGTGTGATGTTAGAATGTGCCTCACGGCTCAAGTTTTTGACATTTCCGGTAGAATCTAGTGATTGGGGATATTATTAGAATGGAGCTCTTCATATGAACTGCCCCATACGTGTAATGTGCTGTACCAGAATCATTTCAGCTATCAGCTGTTGCATGGTTAAATTGTAATTTGCTCCAAATCACCCCCAATTGGGTGAATTTCCATGTTGATTATATGGCAATGTGTTTCGCATCCTTCTCTCAACTGGTAGTGTTCTCTTGTTTCTAGCAAACAATATATGATTGATTATTATCCAGTGCCAGGAACATTATCATGCTCTAGCTATAGTAGTTGATGTATCACTTTTTGTAGTGAACTTATTTTCTATTGAGAAGCTGAGATAAGTGTCATTTTATTATCCCTTTTTGGGAGGAAATTAATATCATTCGGCACCGGGGATTTAGATTGCAAAAGCCCTCAGGCCTCAGCCTGGCCCACATGTTAACTTCTGCCACCTTATAGTTGAAACACAATCACTGATTGCAATAGATTTTCCCAATCCGCTGACTCCCATCAGAAAAAAAAAAAAAAATCTATGCGACGGTGTAGCGGTGTCGCACAGAGGATTCTATGCGATGGTGTCGCATAGAATTTTTTTCCCCTCCTGTCGCGCCCTCCGAAGGCCACCGGATCCCAACTATGCCGCTGTGTCCCTCTCTGGTGCCACCGGACACCATCTATGCCGTTGTGTCCCCTGTCTGGTGCGAGCGGTCTCTGGTGGCTTTACTTCATTGCTGCCGGTTACCTCGCATATTTACTTCATTGCTGCCGGTTACCTCGCAGATTCATCGAAATTGCGAACCCATCTATTGCAGCACGGACTTATGGGCTTGTATGAACTCTAGACTAAAGTAAAAAAAAAAAAAAATCAAATTTGGTCTAAATTGTTTACCGATGTGATCTTGTTTCGGCCTCACCGAAATGGATAACTCTCGCTGAAATTTGATCGTTTTAGACTGAATCATATAATCATAGTCACAACTCACACCCCTTTCTCTTCTTTATAATAAATATTCCTCCATCCTAAATATATAAGGCATGCATTTCAAAATTCAAACTTTGCTATTTTTTACTCACAATTAGTCTAACCATAGCAAAAGTTTATATTAAAATTGGGATCCTAGGTACAATCTTTTTTTTTTTTTGCCCAATAGATCATAGAATAATATCGTAATATTCAAATCCTATCAGATTCTACAAAATATATTTTTATAAGATTTCTAATATGTCATAAAGATTGAAGTCTATAATATTGATATTTATTGATCTAACTAACATTTTAAAGTTTAACTCAAATTATTTACATTATTATTTTCAATACACCTTAGCTTTAAATAGCATTTTTCATCCAAATCATTTAAAAAGGTTTTTTATGTCAATTGTTATGTAGTATGATAGGATCAAGATCCTATCATTCTTATGGGATTATATGGAAGTTTCATATAAGATCAAGATATTACAAAATCTATAATACATCATAGGATCGATATCGTTTTGCTTGATAGGATTGTAATGTCGTAAGGTTTAATGATTGGATCAAAATCATAACAACCTTGATCACTAGTCTCGACTTCAATTACTGGACTTCATGAGGGTCAAGTCCGGCTTGCTTGATATCAGTACCTAAATATTTCTTACAATGTTGTCTATCTGGGTTTTCATGGACTCATGATGGTTGTCTAGCCACGTGGCACAAATAGGCCACATGCTCAACGACTTATGACACTGCAAAATTTGGTTAATGTCAAAGAGGAAATGCTCGAACTATAATGCATCGATTTGGGACTTGGGAGGGTTATATCAGCATGTAAAAATCAGTCATGATGTTTTGTGCCAAAAAAAACAATGTTGGAGTGTGCATGGAACTGGTTTAAGTGTGTTCATTTGAGTGTTCATATACTGCAGGATTATCCTGGATCATCTTGTGATTTTAAAGAAGAACAGTAAGCTTCTAGCTGAGAGCTGGTTTATTTCCTGTGAACTACTTGCTGGCACTTGGCAGTTGAGTAATGCTTTTATTGCTTCTAGAGCTGTTGACGAGTGCCCTCTTCCTAACGCGCCTTAGCTACATGGCTGGTGACTGATGTTAACACTGTCTTAGCGTACGTACACCAGTACTACATGTTTTTCAGCTTATTCTTCATGGACTGCACATTTTCTTTTCTTATAACCAACCTGAGTTTTGAATCAAACTTGAGTCGTCTTGAATATCGATGTTACTTTCCTGATCAGTCATCAGCGACTCAGCTAAGAAAAGCGTGGTGTTAACCCTTTTCACAAGTTCACATATGACTAGTTGACTATACATATTGGTATCTGAAGAAATACAAAACAGATAAATAAAGAAAAGAAAAGAAAAGAACTTTTTTAGATAAATAAGTTGTATTGTATTATATGCTACCAGCTGTTCAGAGGAAATTTGCAGGTCATAATATGCTTGGATTTTTTGCGTGGGTGCCTAGGTGGTGGCTGGGAAGCAGTAGCAGCAACGACAGTTACTGCCACTTTGCACTGACCAACTAAGATCAGTTTTTGATGCGTCTGATTCATATGTTTTAGGTCAAAGCCACCACCTTAAAGCCACGGCCTCTAAACGCGTGGAGCTTCGGCGAGGCCAACCACGAGTTTGGTTTGCCATGAGGTACGTGGGCTGTGAAAAAAAAAGGGCGTAGCGACATGTGGGGTGTGAGTGGAAGCCCGGCGGCCGTGGAAAAAGGAGCTTTGTGGGGTAAATGTGATCACGGTGGTCGAGGGCTACGGATCCTGAAAGGCGAACTGAGAAAAAGCTGAAAACGGACTTCTCCTCCGCGGCGGCAGCTCATCGGTTGAAGTGTTTGGTTAAACAAGTATAAAATATACTTTTTATCTTTATCTCTCTTGAAACAACTATGGAAGAGTTTTTTATTCCACCAATTTCAAAAGCAAAAAGCCAAAAAGCCAAAAGCCAAGGCCAAAGAGCGAGGTCAACCCAATTTTCAAAAAAATCACTGAAAGAAAGCGATGTTGCTCTTGAAGAGCTGTGACGGCTCGGGGTGGCTATCCATAGAAGGCACACTCCAAAAGCAAGGCAAACCACTTTGGTTGGCGCTTTTTTCGCTTTGGATGGCGGATTGCCAAAAGCCAAAAAGCCCATCGGTGAGGGAAGAGGCGAAGACGCCAAACCAAACAGGGCCTCAGTGTCTTCCTCCCTGCAATTCTTCAATGGCAGGTGACGACAGGTCGGTGGTTCGGTGGCTCTACCTCTCCGTGTACAACTGGGTTAGCTTCTTCGGATGGTTAGTAGATAGATTCGCCTATTTTCAGTTCCTGATCAGGTCTCTCTTGGATTGGACATGAGCCTGTTGGTTTGATTTGGGTTCTTGGATTTGAATTCTGCAGGTTGCAGGTGCTATACCACGCAATCTTGGCGCTGTTAGGCGGTGGCCATGAGGCCGTCTATGATGCTGTGAAGCTGCCACTCCTGTTTTCACAAACTGCTGCCTTAACAGAGGTAATGTTAGCCTAGCAGCATGTTTTATCGAACATCTTAATGTAATTCTAGAGAAGATCACAAGTCTAGGATTTGAATCTCACTCATCTCGTTGGTCATTTCGAAATGGATTCAGTGTTATGAGCAGCTTTCTGTGGCTCATGATGCCCACACAGCCGTTGATATTCATTGAAGTCCCGTTACTCTTAAGATGCATTTTTGGCACGCTACACTTTCTAATTATACCACTAGGTTCAAAATTTTAAAACATGCATTAAACCATCCACGGGGCATGATGATTAATTGTGCAATAAAAACACTATCACAAGTCCTAGCACATGAGAATCCTCCCTAAGAAGCATTTGGTCAGGAAAAAAAGCTCATACTAAATGTTGAATGCTAAATACTAGGAGAACCCCGGAGAAGCTGCAGATTCTGATTATGTTTTTAATGGATCAGGCACATATTTTGCTAGAAATATTATATTGTCCAACGGGCACACCTACATGTACGTGTAAAAAATAGTCAATGGGAATCTATCTGTTTGAATCATTTAATATATGTGATGAACATTTTCGGAAAAAGGAAATGTTGCATTTAATTAATATGTGATGAACATCAACATGACCAAGCATGTTTTGGTGAACTAGATACTTAGGCCCCGTTTAGACGCAAGAAACAGATTCGTTTCTCATATGAATCGTCAGAAACGGCTCCAAACGATTTATTGCTGCCCAGATCCGGAACAGAATCGTTCCGAGCCTCCTTCAGCAAAGTTGGAATCCAGGAAAGGGCATTTTCACATAGAAACGTTCGGGTTCCTTTTTCTCACCTATGTTCTAGCAATTGTATCTTTTTCAGTTATAGTCCTTTTTTAGTGCAATAAGTTAAAATGGATTGCATTTAAGTTGTTCTTTGCGGACAAAAAGTTAGAATTTTTTTAAGCATATTTTTATTTATATGATTTTGTAGAAAAAATATATATAATCCTGTGAATCAGAATCTAAACTACTAGCCAAACGCTTTCATAAAGTGATTCTGATTCATCACCTGAAAATCTAGATCCCTACCAAACGCACCCTTAGATGGACAAGTTTTCATCTGAGACTAAAATTTTGTCAATATAATTTATGTATGTTTAATGCCAATATTTGGAGAAGTCTGCTTGAAGCATTTTATCCATTCCTTTATTAACAATAGAAAGAGAGTTTTATATCCAATCTTTCAATTTAGTTGTTATGCACTTATACCTTTGTGGTCCTACAAGAAACTTTGTGGAATTCCTTGTATCATCCTAACCGTGGATTATCAGTTTTTGTATTCTTTTTGCACATCTGTACCAATTTACTAAGTAATTGAGTTTCACTGGTGATGGTGTCACTGGTAGCGCAGATTCTTCATTCTATTACAGGTAAGAGGTTCTTCTTGCTCTCCCATTTATGTTTTTTTTTCACTATCCTTGTTAGTCATAATATTTTAGCTATTGCATGCAATCTTTATCAGAAATGACTTTCTGTATTATGAAAATAATTCCTCAAAGATTTCAACATGAAAGTACTAATTTTCAAAAATCGACTCTCTTGTATTGATTTTTTTTTAAAAAAAAACTGCAATGATGATATGTTGAACTGCTCAAAGGGTTTGTGAGATCTCTAATCAGTGCAACTCTTCCACAAGTTGGTATAAGGACATCAGTTCTCTGGTTCATCGTGTGGAGTTTTCCTGAGGTATCATTAGCTCTTGATTTTTTTTTCATATAAACATTAGACAGGTTCTGGATTTAAAGGACATGCTAAATAAAGAAAACATAGTGATCTGTTCAACTCCCAAACTAGAATGTCAATTATGCCACAGATAAGACAGCACAATGGTGCATCTTTGAGACTGCTCTGTTTTCTTCAGTTTAGTAAACAGTTACTTGGTTGGGTTCTCAAGCTTAAGAAGACTATATGATCAATGTGCACGTTTGTCATGCAGACACAGTCTCATGTCTTCATTACTTCCTTGGTCCTAAGCTGGTCCATCACTGAGGTACGTAAATACTAATACGTTGAGCAGATGACCTGCAGTACCACTGAGTTCCTAAAGTAAAAACAGAAAAAGTGGGATACTGTGAAGTTTCTTATGGTGATATTAATGTCAAAACTTAGTGTTTCCTAAATTTCAGAGTATATACTTTATAAAAAAAAAGAAACTGCTGACTGATTGCAGGTCATCAGATATCCTTTCTTTGGTTTGAGGGAGGCATTTGGAATCACACCTTTCTGGCTCCTATGGCTCAGGTTGGTACAGCTTCCGAACACATCCCACTATTGTTCCACACAGACCTGAAACAAATCGGTGATACACCTTTTTGCAATTTCTGTTTAAATTGAACCACTCCCTGAGTCCCTGTTGTTTTCCCAACCTTTTGGTTTTTGAAGGTACAGCACGTTCATTGTACTCTATCCTATCGGGCTTATCAGTGAGGTCGGCTTAATCTTCACTGCTATGCCTCACATGAAGGTAAGTAAACCTGAGTGAACTGAAGAAACCAGGAGACCATGCTGCTTAGGCTCAGCTGGGCAACGAGTTTGACCTAATCTTGGCAACAACTTTGCAGGGAAGAACCTTCTATATCTGCGCTGCATTGACCACTATCTACATTCCAGGTGCACCTCCCACGCTATTCCTGTTGCCCATTTTGCTGCCGATCTTCATCGTAGCAGAGTAGGATCTGACATGACATGACGCTCTGCATGCTGCTTCTTTTGGCTCTCAGGATTCCCATACTTGTACCGTTACATGCTCGCCCAGAGGAAGAAGAACCTGTCCAAGGTGAAAGCCGCATGACGCTCCAGACGAGCCTCACTATCCTAGACGGCTAGACATGTTCTTCCTTCTCAGAAGTTCTCTTGTGCTTAAGCCGATCCTTTAGTAGGAGTAACTTAAAAGAGACTTGTATGTTTGTATTGGTCGGATGACCTTTAGGTCCATTTGAACACCGGGTGTACCTCCGTGTGACCAATTAAAACTCTGTAAGCCTTTGTCGATTTGTAGATGTGAGAGTTTCAAATGTAATAAGACCACCAGTCATATTCAGCTGTTAAAGTGACGCTTTGTATATCTTGCTCTAATTGTTGTACTGGACAAAAGCTTCTTCTTCTGATAATGGGAGATGAAAAAGATTGCTGCTTGCAATAAATTCTCCGAAAGCCACCAGTTTGCCCTATCAATGCCCTTTTGTCCCTCTCTGGATTTTTAAATTCGTCTTTTTTTAAAAAAATGCTTGTTTTAAAAAATATAAAACTATACTACTGCTGCCGATTGAAGCGGGGAAGGATATACCGCCTGTTAAGCTAGCGGAATATTGAATTGAATTGACCAAATATCTTTTTTTTCTGCCAGCTTGTCTTAAAAAATGATAACTCTTATATATGAATTCAGATAAAGATAAAATTTATATGAAAGTTGTAGAGAGAAAAGAGATTCATAACTTTTTAGTTTATGACCTTTTCATTTATTGATACATAAAAAATTGATACAATATTCAAATCTATATTTGTAGATCTAAATATTATATTGATTACTTTAGTACCAAGATGGCTTCAAGCGAAGACGTTATGTCGACCATGGTGTTTTGTACAAACAAAACCTATGATCGAGTTCCATATGTCAAATTATATATTTGTGCATTAGATTAGTTTACTTATATATAGTCCATTCCAAATTATAAGATATTTTGACTTTTATAGATCTATAGCTTTTACTATACATTTAGATATACACTATGTCTAGATATATATATAATAAAAAGCAATGCATCTAAGAAAGTCAAAACATTTTATAATTTGAAACAGATGAAGTACTATTTTAAGTGTGTTGATTTCAGTGTGCATATTGCATATACCGCAAGCATTATCTTGGATAATATGGTTTTAAAGAAGAATAATAAGATCGATAATGCTCTCCTCAGGGCGTCCGGATGAACGGACGCAGATTCCCCACTCCCGTCCGCGTCCCTTCCGCCCAATATGCCTACTCCCCCGATGCTTCCCTCATGGCTTCTCCATTAAAAAACAAGATGCCTATTCCCCATTTCGGTGTTGCCGCTCGTGCTCTCCTCGGCCTCGCTCTCCTCCCTGCTCCTGCTCCTCTCCCTCCTCCACCTCGGCTACGTGTCGCCGCCCTCCTGCTCTCGCCATCCCTCCTCCTTCCCCGCCGCTGACGGAGGAGAAGCAGCATCATCAGCAGTTCTTGAGGTCGCATGCCCGCCGCCTCCCCTTCTCCAGCACACCGCGGGGCGCCTCACGCGGGGACCGCGCCTACCGTCTGTCATCGGAGCGGCACAACCGCTCGTTGGGGCTGCGCCCAGCCACCCGTGGCATCAAGCTCCAAGCCGCGCCGAGCTCCGTGTCGATAAACTTCCATTCGTCCAAGCAGCAAGTAGATGTTACGCTTGAAAGCACATGTTGCAAGTGTATGTTTCAAGTGTTTCAGATGTTTTAGAGGTATGTTGCAAGTGTTTCATATGGATATTGCAAAACTAGATCGAGATGTTGCATATGTTGCAATAGTTGTACACTTATGTTGCAAGCGTTTATTCTAAATGTTTTATTTATTTTTTCGGGACGTATGTTTGCAAGTGTGTTTATCTGAATGTTGCATATATTTTACACAAATATTGCATGTGTGTTTATCTGGATGTTGCATATATTTTGCAATGGCTTTTTCAAGTGTTTTTAGGTGTTTTTACAAGTGTTTCAGACGTATGTTGCAAGTGTTTCAACTGTTTCGAACATGTGTTGCAAATGTTTCATTTGGACGTTTCGTTAGATTGGGCGTTGCATCTCCCTCATCGCCTTCTACTCCTCGCCTCGGTGTCTCCTCCTCTTCTCGATGCTGGTGGTGTTCGGGCGGTGTGGGCCCGCGTGGGGGGGCGGCATGGGTGGGGCGAGTCGTTCGAGTGGCGCGGAATCCGAGCGGGTGGGGCGGGCGGCACGGAGCAAGCGCGGGGCACGGATAGTTTCGTCCGGACGCGGGCCAACGGCTGGACGTCCGAGCGCTAGGCTGACTGTAATAAGCTTCTATTGCTGAGAGCTGGCTTACTTCATGTGAACTAGCTGTTGGCACTTGGCGGTTGAGTAATGCTTTATTGCTTGTAGTGCTGTTGATGAGCGCCCTCTTCCTAATACACCTTAGCTACATGGCTGGTGATTGATGATGTTAACACCTAACAGGGTCTTAGTGTACGTACACCACTACATGTTTTTCAGCTGATTCTTTCGGGTATCTATGCACATTTTCTTTTCCCGAGAATACTTTATAACCAAACTGAGTTTTGAGTCAAAATTGAGTCGTCTTGAATAAATATTTACTTTCCAGATTAGTCATCAGTGTAAAAGAATGGGGTAGTGTTAACCCTTTTAGTCACAAGTTCGCATATGGCTAATTGACTATATATATTTGTATCTGATTGATGAAATACAAAACAGATAAAGAAAGAAAAAAAAACTTTTTTTAGAGAAATAAGTTGTAAATGCTACCAGCTGTTCAGAGGAAATTTGCTGGTCATATGCTTGGATTTAGCGTGGGTGCCTGCCTGGGTGGTGGCTGGTAAGCAGTAGCAGCAACGACAGTTATTGCCACTTTGCACTGACCAACTTAGATCAATTTTTTGATGATTCATATGTTTTAGGGTCAAAGCCACCACCTTAAAGCCATGTCCATCTCAGGGTCTTCCTCCCTGCAACTCTTCAATGGCGGGTGACGACGGGTCGGTGGTTCGGCAGCTCTACCTCTCCCTGTACAACTGGGTTACCTTCTTCGGATGGTTAGTAGTAGATCTGCCTATTTTCAGTTCCTGATCAGGTCTCTCTTGGATTGGACATGGGCCTGTTGGTTTGATTTGGGTTCTTGGATTTGAATTCTGCAGGTTGGAGGTGCTATTCCACGGAACCTTGGCGCTGTTAGGCGGTAGCCATGAGGCCGTCTATGCTGCTGTCAAGCTGCCACTTCTGTTTTCACAGACTGCTGCCATAGCAGAGGTAAACTAATGTTAGCCTAGTCGCATGTTTTATCGAACATCTTAATGTAATTATACAGATGATCACAAGTCTATAATTTCAAACTCTCTCTTCTCGATAGTCATTTCGAAATGGATTCAATGTTTTCAACAGCCTTTGCCCCCACATGTCAAGGCCGCATTATCACATAGTCAGCATATCATGTCACCACGTGGATAGTTTAACACAAGTGAATGTTTAGACTTCATATTGTACAATTAGCAAGTTTTAGGCTGCTAAAAATTCGTTTAAGTGTATCAGCACCTCAATGAAAACATAAGACAAGTTTAAGAACCACTGATTGAGAGTACCCGGACCTAGATAAGAATATGAGACAAGTTCGAGGAGCAATGGTGAAAATTATCATTCCATAAATAGATTCATTGATTTCTAGTCTTATTGTATCAATCCTACCAATTTATTCATGACCATCTTTAGCCCACGGTTCATGTAACGCGTTATGTCTGGAATATGTGCTATTGCTGGGTAACACTTGTTTGGATAGATACAATTCAAGATAAACTTATTTATATTTTTTGAAAAGTCACGAGCAAGAAAGTTTTGTCGGGCATGTATTAATAGAGAAGAGCATCATACAATTAAATTCACTAATTTAAAAACAAAAAAACCATGGATCTAAACAATGAACTTCTTTATATGCATACTCTTATCACTACACAACAATAACCAGATGTGTGCTTCTTGTATCTGTACATAAACAATGGATCTAAACATTAAAATTAAACACAAAGACCAGAGCCAAGAAAAAGCACTATGCAAAACTTTTACTGTATCAGCTACATATTTTGCTACCAAGATTGTCCAACGGGCATACGTAGATGTTTAAATTAGTCAATGGAAATCTATCTGTTTCAATCATTAATACATGTGATAAACATTTTTGGAAAAAGGAAATGTTGCATATAATACGTGATGAACATGACCAAGCATGTACTGGTAAAATAGATACAGAAATTTTCATGTGGGACTAAGATATTGAAATTTTGAGGTGTTATGAAACACTTCACCAGCGGTTAGGATCTTTCTCTCTCAGTCACTCATGATCAACATATTAGATGAAAGTAGAGAACACATAGACATAGGATAGAGAGACTATTCTTTATTTCTCTGAATATTAGTGATTACAACATATATAGTCCTAAGAGTTTGGTAAGAGCCCACGTACAATGGACTAGGATTAGAATTCCTCATTACCACTATATGCACATGTCTCATTAAAACTTCATCCGAAAACCCAATGTGAGAAAAAATGATTCTCGGAGAAAAAAAGTACATTGCATTTGCAAGTTGAATTGCACATGTTGCCTCATGAAGAGAAATTTTATCCAGCATTTGGAGAACAAGTCTGCCTGAAGCATTTTATCCATTTCTTTATTAACAATAGGAAGAGAGTTTATATACAATCTTTCAATTTAGTTGTTACACACTTATACCTCTGTGGTCCTACAAGAAACTTTGTGGAATTCCTTGTATCAACCTAACCGTGCTAATTTACTAAGTAATTTGAATTTCACTGGTGATGGCGTCGCTGGTAGCGCAGATTCCTCATTCTATTATAGGTAAGAGGTTCTTCTTTCTCTCCCATTTATGTTTATATTTTCACTATCCATGTTAGTCATGATATTCTAGTTATTGAATGCAGTCTTTATCAGAACTGACTTTTTGCATGAAAATAATCCCTCAAAGATTTCAACATGAAAGTAGTAATTTTCAGAAATTAACTCTTGTATTACTTTTTTGGAAAAATTGAATTATATGTTGAACTGTTCAAAGGGCTTGTGAGATCTCCAATCAGTGCAACTCTTCCACAAGTTTGCGGAAGGATCTTAGTTACCTGGTACATCGTGTGGAGTTTTCCTGAGGTAGCATCAGCTCTTGATCTTTCATATTACACAAGTTCTGGTTTTTAAAGGGCATGCTGAATAAAGAAAACATAGAGATTTGTTCAACTCCTAAACTAGAATGTTAGTTATGTTTTGCTTCTGACCATGGGACAGCCACAGATAAGACAGCACGAGTGCATCTTAGGCACGACTGCTCTGTTTTCTTCAGTTTACTTTTGTTGTATATATATCTCAACTAAGGGCTTGTTTGGATGCGCATGTATTAATCTCAATCCATATGTGTTGAAGTGGATTGGAATGTAATTAAACTAAATTCCATTCCATTCCACTCCAACACATATGGATTGAGGTGGATACACATGCATCAAATAAGCCCTAAGTAAACAGTTACTTGGCTGGGTTCTCAAGAATCATGTATGATCAATGTGCACGTTGTTTGCGTTGCAGACACAGTCTCATGTCCTCGTTACTTCCTTGGTCCTAAGCTGGTCCATCACTGAGGTACGTACATACTAACTGCAACAGATGTTGAGTATATATATCACCTTCAGTACCCCTGAGTTCCTAAAGTAAAAAATAGAAAAAAAAAAAGTTGCATGTTGTGAAGTTTCTCATGATGATATTAATGTCAAAACATAGTGCCTCCTCCATTTCAGAGTATACTTTACTGCTGTGGATTGCAGGTCATCAGATATTCTTTCTTTGGTTTGAAGGAGGCATTTGGAATTACACCTTTCTGGCTCCTATGGCTCAGGTTGGTACAAGTTCTGAATACATCCATCCCACTGTTCCACAGAGACTTGAAAGAAATCGTGATACACCCTTTTGCAATTTCTGTTTAAATTGAATCACTACCTGTTATTTTCCCAACCTTTTGAAGATACTCCACGTTCACTGTACTGTATCCTATTGGGCTTATCAGTGAGGTCGGCTTAATCTTCACTGCCATGCCTCACATGAAGGTAAGTGAACTGAAGAAACCAGAAGCCCATGTTGCTCAAGCTCAACTGCTCAACTGGGTAACGAGTTTGACCTATCTTGGCAACAACTTTAATTTGCAGGGGAGATCCTTCTACATCTGTGCTGGATTAACCAGTCTCTATATTCCAGGTGCCCCTCCGTCTCTATCTCTATGTATTCATCCAAGCAAAGTAGGATCTGACATGACACACTCTGCTTCTGCTTCTTTTGGCTCTCAGGATTCCCATACTTGTACCGTTACATGCTCGCCCAGAGGAAGAAGGTCCTGTCCAAGGCGAAAACCGCGTAATGCTCCAGACGAACCTCACTGTCACAGAGTAACCAGTGTGGTTGTACACTTGTACTGTGCCATGGCTCTTATCAGGTGGCAATAACAGTGTGGTTGTACTGTAATACCAGGGAATACTGAATATATAGCTCTTCCATGGGTGAAAGAAAATAAAATCATATATAAGTGGATACTTTTTTGTGCGTACAAAGCTTTTCGGTTTTCGGTGTTGATGCTCGGCTTTCAGATCAGGTCTTGTTCCCTCCAATTTTTACCGCAAAAAAAAAACAGAGATAAAGTTTCTGTTAATGGAGTCACTTGACATGAATAGCAAGAAGCAAGAAGGATACAGTCACCATTTGCTTCAGGCAAATATGTATGCAGCGACTACTCTCTGTCAGCTGGAAAGAAAAGGAGGTGAGAAGGGTAGGCAGAGATCAGATTCAGTGATGAAAGGAGTGGAACTGAAAAGGGCAAGGTAAAATAATAAACATTCTGAATCATCGTATCTTGGATCTGATGGCTGTAGTATATGTTATAGGTACGATACGATTGTGCCGTATATATGCACCCAAATTGAAGTGCCAACCACGCAAATTGTGCCGTATATATGCACCCAAATTGAAGGCCCAATCAGATGGTACTTATATACTCCAATAATAAATAAGAGAAACAAGTATATTTGTTTGTTTCGGCACTTGGCTTGGGAATCTTCTCTCTGGACTGGAGTTGTATGAACCGATGGCGGCAACCTTGGCCTCTGCGTGCGAAGTGCGAACGAGTCGCGGGACAGATGGCCTTCTCCATCCATGAGGCTGAGGGCGTTGCATTTGCATCGCAGTTTCCGGATGATGGACAGGCCAGAACAATCTCCCTTCCAGATGCTCAACCAGGCCTTGCTGCGGACGGCCTTATCGACTGCCTAATGCATTCGTACTCGTCAACGACGGCAACCTCTGCCTGACCGCGCCCGACGAACTGTTAATATAAGAAAGAAAATTCAGGAACCTGCCGGCTGTGTGGTAAACCAACGGCCATAGCTAGGTTGCTCGCAAGAGCCGACTTGTGTACCTCTGCCTCGGATGCTTATATATTACCAATTACCATCGCATACGGTGTCTCATCAGTGTCGCTTTGTAGTATTAGCGAGCTAGCAAAGTGTTTAGTTTTTTTTCCTTTTGAAGTCTTCCTTCAGTTCAATCTTTTGTTACTAATCGACGACTGAAAAGTTGCTTATAAAGTAGCCTTCAACATTTGGCTGATACGGCGGTGGGGCTTTGTTGACGTGGATTCTAGACTTCTAACTTTTTTATAATATGTTTTGTCGATCTGGTTGATTGTCCCACTGTTTTGCATCGACTAAAACCAGGTGCCATGCTAATTTTAACCGCTATGGTTTTAGTCTAAAAAGAAGTTGTGTCCTACCATTTTAACCCCCGAGAGCAATGCTTTAGAGGGTTACAAGAAACGAACCAATGTGATTTATTTATTTTTAGTCATACGTTATGTATTTTTTCTCTTTCTTGTCTTTTACAATTTAAACGGAGGACTAGCGCCCGGACGTCTTTTACAATTTAAACGGAGGACTAGCGTCCGGACGTCCAGACGTGGTGTCCGTTTCGCTGAAATTTGGCTTATACTGATGCTTATATTGATTTGTTGTTAGAGAAAAGCATTGTTCGTTCGCTGAAAAGTACTGCTGAAGTAGTGCTACAGAACAGGACGACTGCTCCTGCGCTTGCGCCACGCCAGACCTGCGCCCAACGCACGCCCCGCGTCCATCCCCGCTCTAGAGGCAGCATCCGTCCAGACGGAGCTTCCCGCCCTGCCACGACGCACGTAGCATGGAGGCCTGCGTCCCATCCCGCCCGATGTGCCGCGCCTGTGCCCATCCCGCTCCACATCCTAGACAATCCGCCGTGGCATCCCATCCCGGCCGCTCTCGTGTCCGCGGGCTCCATTGTCACCACACCAGGGAGCCGCAGCAGTTGGACCACCAAGGGCGTAGGCTTTCTCCACACCTACATCCAAATCTACTTTTGCAATACTCAGATGAAACAATTATTGCAACATATGCTTGAAACATACGAAACATTCAGAACATACATTTGCAACATAGTCATTTGTAACATATGCAACATCCAGATAAAACACTTGTAATATACGTCTGAAAACAGATGAAACACTTGAAACATGCTCTTGAAACTTGTGTGTATAGCCATAGAAACATATGTAATATCCAGATCTACTTTTACAACGTCCAGATAAAAACACTTGCAACATAAGCTTGAAAATGAAACATTTGAAACATTCGCTTGAAAGATGCGTGTATAGCTATAGCAACATATGCAACATCCAGATGAAACACTTGAAAAAAACATATGTATGAAACAACTGAAACACTTGAAAACATAGGCTTGCAACATGTCTGAAAACGACTAAAACACTTGAAACACAGTGTCGCTGGAGGTCACGGCCTACCTAGCGGGGAACTGCGGTGGTGCATGCCTTCCCTTCCTGCCGGCGGTTCGAGGTGGAATGGCCATAGGTGCAGGCGCATCCCTCCCCTGCCTCCCCCTTCCGAGATGGGCGAGGTGGATGAGGGCGCGGACGAGAGCAAGCAACGCGCGCGGGCGGGTGAGGCGTGGGGTGCACGGACCCAACGACGCGGGCAAAGCGTGCAGAGCGGTCCGTCCGGACGGGATGGACTCCCGCGGCGTATTATCTCCTCAATTTAGGTCATACTCTAGGTACGCGTACTCGTTCTGCTCCATTTTCTCTCCTTCCTACCAAGAACGGCAGCATACATCTTGGCTCTTTTTTCGTTCACTTTTTCCTAGTAAAGCAGATAAAGAAACTTTTTTGATAATTTTTTCTGTAATAAATATCTCAACAAAGCTAAGGTCAAATTTTATTTTACAAAATATGAATAATAGAATGATGCAACCTTAGATAATGGAAGGTGCTAAGTTTGCAAGTGCCATCGTTGTCACCCATGGTTAGTGATATCACAATTCGAACATCCAAATCAGTCCATTACTATTGATATTTATTCTACCTTTATTCATATCTATCGACTTCTTTGTTAGTATCATCATCTCAACTCCTACACGGTGTGATTATGCTTCTATCCCGAGTGGCATTCTCGCTAGCTCTCACCATCCTAACTTAGACTTGTCCATACTACTCTTACTATTATGCATCTCCTACCCTTCCACATGCCATCGATGCCACCCTACTCAAGCGTCCAACACTGGAAAGCCGCACTATGCCCTAACCCTCCCTGCAATATGTGGCAATAAAATATATTTAGCCAATTCTCTTCCCAAACCTCTATATTGTTGATGTGATTTTTTTACCATCGATTGGAAGTCTAAAACCATTTCGATGACTAAAATACAGGACCTATGTAAGGGCTTGTTTGGATACCATAGACTAAGCTTTAGTTACCTAAACTTTAGACCTAGGTATCCAAACAGATGGACTAAAAATAAACTATTTTTTTTAGTTTATTAGTTGATAAATGTGGACTAATATGGACTAAAAGATGCCTTTATCCACGGTACTCTCCACTTTTAGTCCTGTATTCAAATAACACTAGACCAAACATTAATCACATAAACTTTCGCTAATGCTTAGACGCGGGCGTCCATCCGTTTAGACATGCTGCCTTCCCGGGCCTGACGCCCGCGCTACCGGCCCAACAGGCCTGCTCACCTCTACATCTTTCCCGTCTCTCTTTCTCAAAAAAATATCTTCCCACTCCGCCTTGCCCGTCGCGGCTTCACCGCGCCGTGCAGCCACCCGCCTGCCCCACTCCGCCTCGCCGCCACAGCCATCCCCCACCACGGCCATCCTGCGCAGCGCCACCCCACTCCACCTCGTTGTCGCGCCATCCCCCGCCGCGCGCATCCCCCACTCCGCCTTGCCCGTCGTGGACGCGGTGTTCACCGCGCCACCACCACCCTGGCACCACCAGGAGAAGGCCGCCGATGGCCGGAGACACCATGACAGGTGTAACACCTCTGGTGTTACGAGCTCGCTTAGCACTGAGATTATGGCCTGAGAGATAGATCTATTAATATAGTGAGTTAGTTACGTAAATGCTTATATGTGTTGATGAAAAATCCTAACGCGAAGAGTATAATAAGTAGTTCTAAGCAGTGGCACGGAAGCAATTTTTATAAATAAAATAAAATATAACTTGTATTTAGTACTTGAATAAAACTTGGAGCGCAAGTTTAAAAGATGATAGACAATGCTACTTAGACATTTAAATATCCACAAAAAATTTCTAAACATCAACTCCATGTTTTTGCACCGTCAGTTTCGTCGAAATGAGCACTTGAGAGCGGTGTAGGTCGAGGTGGCGATGGGTGTCACGGCACTCTTGTAGAAATTGCCTAACTTCGTTAGAAAACGCTGCTGGACCGCGAATTACTGCTCGGTTCGTGAACCAGCGCCCAGCTTGACGAACCAATCTTGGCATCCTCCTATCTTCCTCTCGGGTGGTCCTTTTGTTGTGCGGATTGCTCTGTTAGATAGCTGATAAGATCAATTTTAGAGTCGTGGAATTAGTTGAACCTCAATCGTGATCGTTAACAGTTTTTCGTTCGCTTAAAAACTCATGCGTTGCTACTGTCGACCGTAATGCCGTCCATGCGCGCGTGCCGGGAGGTGCTCTTGTCCGTTGTCGTTCGGTCACTGCATTGCTCGCTCTCATCCACTCATCTCACCTACCTCACCGGTACGACTCGCGCGTTATTGAGGAAGGGACCGAGCTCGATGGTTGCGGGGACGCTGCTTGCTATCCCTCCCTCCCTGCTTGCCTCTGCCGCTTTCTCTCCCGCGCCCCGCAGCACCCACCATGGCCATGCTGCCCATCGCTCGGTCCCCTCGCGAGCGCGCGCGGGCGCGCGTGAGCCCCCACGGCCCCGCGCGGGTCCTGTAGCCCCACCGTGCTGCCCTCCCGAGCGCCTCTCCTGCCGCCGCTCGGCCTGCCTTGCTGGTGCCGCTGCCGTGGCCTCTGCACGTCGCCATGCGCGTGGCCGGCCCGCTGCAAGCACCTACGGCCACTCCGCGAGCAGCAGGCGGTGCGGCCGGCCACCGCGAGGCTCACCGGCGTGTCTCCCTCCGCCGCCACGATCTTCCTCGAACGAAGATCGAACGTCGCCTCCCCTAACGTGGTTGCGCGTGGCCGCCGTGCCGTGCCTTGCCTCGGTCCGCGCCGCGGCCAGGCTCGGGCTCAATCGTGGCCCCCACGTTGCCCCGCGTCGCTCCACCTCCGCTGCCACGCCCCGCAGCACCCCCACCGTCGTCGAACGGCTGCCCATGTGTGTGCGTGGCCAGGATGCCTCGGGCCGCCACTGGCCATGCCGCCGGCACCCGCGAGTACGGTCGGGTCTGCTACTGCTCCTGCGCCGCCAGGCAGCCGTCCCTCCGGCGGGAATCGGCCAGAGCCAGTCGTCCTTTGCTCCTCTGTGTACGAGCTGAAGAAGAGAGAAGGTGAGAAAATGAAATAGAGGCTTTTCTAGGGTTCCCAATGCAAATCCGTGACTCATGTAAATAGTGTTACATAGTGTGTAATGTCTTGTGGGTTGATTAAGTAAAAGTTCAAGGGCCTTCATGCAAAAGTGCCACCGCCGCCTTGCCTTGGCTGCGTGGGCCGGCTTGCTAGGCCGCTCACGCCATGCCTGGGCACGCTCACGCTGCACATGTGTGGCGGCTCCCCCACCTGGTCGTCGTCGTCCCACGTGGGCAGGCATGGGTCTGGGTGCACAGGCAGCGTAGCCTAGTGCCTGGAGGAAATTTCATTTTCCATTTTCTTATTTGCAGAAACTTCATAAATCCGTCAAAAAGTGTAGAAAAATCACAAAAATGCCAAACCAATTTTGCTAAGTTTCTAAAATCATGATCTATCTGATAGGGTATTTCGTTCGCATAGGTTCTGTATGTTTTTACGGTTGCTCTAATTATTTTAACATGCTTAATATTGTTAAGACATAAACTTGTAGGAATTTCCGCGATAAATCGGTGATAGTGTTAGCTCTAAAAATTTCATAGTAGGTTAGAAGTGTTATCAGGTGTTCTCGGTATTTTTTTGTACATACAGAGTAATTAAATTGCTAAGATAGCAAATGAGCCCTAGTTTGAATATATAGTAAATCAAATAAATGAAATAAAGAAACACCTTCGAATTGTATAACTAAAACACTTGTTAGGAAATGACACCTTTCTCGACGACATTGATACATAGATTAGTACATTAGTCATTAGAGCTAGCTTGTTAGTTCGTAGTATGTACTCTATTTTAAGAGTTGTTGTTGCCTTGTTAATTAACTATTGCATCATCTCTGCATCGCATTGCATACCATAATAGAGACGACAATGGATCGCGGAGTCATCGGGAGTGCTAGTGAGATGGTACTTTAGGAGATCGTGTCACCAAGATGGAATACTAACTTTTGATTATATGTTACTCAGGCAAGCCCCGGTCCATAACTCCTACTTTTCTGCACTTTATATTATGAGTCTTACTAGTATGACAGGATCGTGTAGATTGCTATGCTACAGGACTCTGGTAGAAGTCGAGTGATTGCCTGTCACTCGCGAGAGATAGGAAACATATTATTGTTGTTACTATATTATTATCACCTAGAATATATATGAATGATAATTGAAGACTGAGCGGAATGGTACTTTGGATCTGGACTTGGTTTGGCATTCGAGCGAGGCTCGGATTGCATTTGTTCCGCCTGTGTCGATTATGGACCGACCGTTGCATTGGGTTCTAGGCAGGTCACAAACTTTATTATCCTGAACACATACTTGTGTATGGGCGCGGGAAGACTCATTGATCTCTTGTCATGGGTTTTAGCTCTTTTCCGGACCGACTGATTGGAGGCGGAGATGGTGGAGGTCTAAGCACCGCACTAAGTCCGGGACTTAGGAGCGGGGGCTTGGAGTCCAAGTTTGGACGGAGACCTGACCCCGTGACAGGAGGGTAGTGGGTTGGTTTTGCTTGTGCCTAGGGTACAAGCGGGGCGTGTGTTTCAGGGTACCCAGATGGGATACATTGGTTCGTGAATCGTCGGGTGATCCGGTATGACTTGTCTACAATCTAGCACCGTAATAAGAATTGAAAGATGAAAGATGGTAAAATAATTCTGATTGCTTACCATCTGCTTGAAAGCAGCACATATACTTACATAGAATGGTTAGTTAATGAACTAATGATGACTGCTAATAAAATTGAATATAAGGACGCACATTTAGTAATGCTCCTGCAGATGCAATAAACCCACAAACCAGATAGCCTTGCATATCCTTAGAGTCTTTTCTTTTCTCCTGACGGGTAAGTCTTGCGGAGTACAATTGAGTACTCAGGGTTTGTTCTATCCTGTTGCAGGTGACAGGCGATGCTAGAGATGACTTTTGTGTGTTGATTCCTCCTTGTGGGCTCAGGGGAATTCCTTTATGCTGTGATTATAGTTTTTATTTATAACTCTTACTAAATGTTTTTATAAATAGAAGTTGCGTAATCTATTGTCATAGCTTATATATCAATGCTTCATTATGTCATGACTAGATATTTATTGCCGCTGTAATTCTGATCACATGTTTATATTTCGCTGTTAAATTAAATTATTTGTAACTCTGATAACATGATCATATTCCGCTATTATAAATAATAAATATTATCATCTGATGTTGCATAAAAAGTGATGTAAGAAATGACTAAACGTTGTAAGTTTTATTCTCTCATTTATGATCATGGTGGGAAAATATGGATTTTCGGGTTCTTCCTCGGGGTGTGCTCGACGTAACTGCGTAATTTAGTGTCTTTCCTTGAGTACTTATTGTCTAATGAAAGACAAGTACTCCTAGGAGGCATTAGATTAGGCGGTTCTGCACAATAGGGAGCCGCGCCACCACTGACTTGAGCTTCCTGTCACAACGGGCCGTGGCCGCCGGTGATGTCGTGTTTCAGACGTTCGTTTTAAGTGTTTCAGTTGGATATTGCATATGTTGTAATGGCTATATACGCATGTTGCAAGTGTATGTCGTTTCATGTTGCAAGCGTATGTTTCAAGTGTTTTATCTGGATGTTACAAAAAATAGATCTAGATGTTGTATATATATGCATATACATATATATTGCAAGCGTATGTTTCAAGTGTTTTAGGTGTTTAATATGTATGTTGCAAGTGTTTCATCTGGATGTTGCATATGTTTACAATGGCTAAACATGTTTTTCAGTTGTTTGCAAGTGTTTCAGACGTACGTTGCAAGTATTTTATCTGGATGTTGCAAAGTAGATCTGGTGTTGCACATATTTCAATAGGGCCCACCTATTGCACCCGCCTGCTGTAGTTGTTGGGGCACCACCGTGGGTCACTGTGCGGGTACCTGATGCCGACAGACTCATCCGCGACGCACATCCACAGGCGGGGCAGGTGGCTGGGACCCACGTGGTTTCCCGTGTGCGGGCGCGACGGTCATCGCGGGAAGCAGTGGGGCACAATTCCCGCATGCGCGCGTGAAACAGAGCGAGTGCGATGGTCAGGGTGGGAAGTAGTGTGGGATCCATGCAATGGGGCGCAAAAATAGGCAGCACGGCCTTCTTTCGGAGTGCGGCGTAGTCTCCCGCCTATTAGTACAAGCACGTCTAGAAGCGGGTGTCCATATGGCGCTAGCCTCTCCGCTAAACTTTAGTTGTAATATAATAGTTGTAGGTGATCCAAATAGGTCCTAGCGAAAACAAAGAAAGATAAAATCCACTTTAAAACAAACAGGCACGTCATCTTTTTAAGATAACGATGGTACGTCTACTACGTCATGTGGCTAAAGAAGAGATCACGGTTTTAGTTCACGCCCAGCTGCATCTACTCATTCATCTTTTTATTGTGAAGAAAAAATTAGCGAGGATCCAGCCAATGACACCTGCGCCTTTCCTTTTCTTGGAGGAGAAGCGAGGGAAAGGGGGGAAATACGACGAACGCGGTTGCAGTTTGCGATCCGCAATGGACTAGCGGACGCGAACCCGTTGACGGGCCAGACCCCTGTTGGCTCGCTCTCCCTTCTTCTCTGGGCCCTCCCCTCCCGTCTCTTCCTTTCTCCTTCCCTTCCCTTCCGCTCTCCCTCTTCTCCCCCGTCGCCGGCGAGAGCTCGGGCGGAGGCGCCACAGCACCCGCAGGAGAGATTTTCTCCCCGGGAAACAAGGGGACCTGCGGTGGGCTCTTCTTCCCTTCCCCAAGGTTAGATCAGAGGATGGCCTTCTGTTCCTTTTCCTCTACCCCCAACCTCCTCGCGTTTTTGCTTTTTCCCATCTATTACATCTTCCTTAGCACTCCTGTGACAATTTCTGGGCAGGTAATGGAGTTCTCGAGGTCTTATCTGCTTTGGTCTGAGGAAATCTTCTTCCTAAGTTGCAATTTGGTAAAGAGAAGATCGAATTGTTGTGGGAGAAATCCCTAGTTGTTACTGATAAAAAAGAGTGATTTTTCATTTGGTCCCCGCGGTTTAGATTTTGGTTCCTGTCATCCTGTGTAATACTAGTTGTTACCAGTGTGAATTTGACGAGCGTTTAAATAACTTTGAATTCCATCCGTTTTCAGGGCTGCTGCCGTTATATTGGGCTGAAAGATCTCAGTTTTATTCCGACGTGATATTTCTCATCGCCAATCTGGATCTATCTGTTGGTGGTGGAAAGTTGCCTCTTTTATGAGGCGAGGCTGTGTGAGGAACCCGTGTGCCTCCCTCCCATGGATGTGCTGAACGCTGATTGGCGCACCAGGCGAGAAGGGGCAGGAGCCAGTAGGTGGTGACAGAGCAGGGAGACGAGGGAGAGGAGAGGCAGTCGGTATAGCAGAGAAGCAGGCAAAAATAGGAAGGACGAAGGAGAAGGAGAGGAGGGAGCTCTCCATGGGGGAGCCCCTCCTCACCTCCCTCTCCATGGAGAACAGCAACAGCCACCCCTGCACGCTCCTCTCCATGGACCCTGCTGGCTCGCACCCAGCCTCCGCCGAGTCCTCAGGTGGCGGCGGCACTGCTACCAATGGGGTTGGGGTTGGTAGTGGTGGTGACCGGGAACTCTTCATCATTCCGCGGCGTGAGTCGGCGCACCCAGGCCCGCCGGACATCAACCTCCCGCTCTCTGCAGATCCTTCACCACCGCCTCCGTCATGGAGCCTCGACACGTTCGACATACTTGATGTCACTCTTGGAACACACAACTATGAGTCTGAGGTTGCACTTACACTTCCAAAGTCGACGGGTAACGGCAACGGCAATGGCAGTGCCACTATTGGTGTCGGCGCGAGGAAGTGTGCTAAGAGAGGAGACAGCATCTGGGGTGCATGGTTCTTCTTTAATCACTACTTCAAGCCTGCACTTGTGGAGAAGCCAAAGGGGAAGGTGACGCGAGACCTGTCCGGTAGCATCTCGGGCTTCGACAAGTCTGATCTCCGCCTTGATATCTTCCTGGTGCAGCATGACATGGAGAACATGTACATGTGGGTTTTCAAGGAGCGGCCCGACAATGCCCTTGGGAAGATGCAGCTCCGGAGCTTTATGAATGGGCATTCCAAGCATGGGGAGCCATCTTTCCCGTTCAGTGCCGATAAGGGCTTTGCCAGGTCACACCGTATGCAGCGAAAGCACTACCGTGGGCTGTCGAACCCACAGTGCCTTCATGGGATTGAGATCGTGGGCTCACCAAATTTGTCAGCAGTTTCTGAGGCAGACTTGAAGAGGTGGGCTGAACTGACAGGCAGGGAACTTAATTTCTCAATACCATCTGAAGCCAGCGACTTTGAGTCATGGAGGAATCTTCCCAGCACTGATTTTGAACTTGACAGGCCACATCCACCGGCAGCAAAGAGTGCCACACATGGATCTCATAGCCATAAGAAGGATTGAACGGTTCAGGTCTCAACCTTTCAACTCCACCATCATCAGACGATGGGATGGACCTTTCACCAAAATGTGCCAAACGCCGCAAGGATTTCTTTGGCCATGGTGTAGAGGAGGACTGTGTGATGGCAAACAATTCTTGTTCTGACAGAGAGCAAGAGGTAGAAGCTCACACCGGCGAGCCATCATGGATGCACGAGTTCACTGGTGTGGCCAAGCATGCAAGCGGGCCTGTTACTGCTGCCAAGACGATATACGAGGATGAGGAAGGGTACTTAATCGTGGTGAGCATGCTTTGCTCCGATCCACACAGCGTCAAGGTGACCTGGAGGAACACGCTGACGCATGGCATCGTGAAGATAACATGCGTGAGCACTGCCCGGATGCCCTACATCAAGAGACACGACAGGACGTTCAAGCTGACGGACCCTTTCCCAGAGCACTGCCCTCCCGGTGAGTTTGTGAGAGAGATACCTCTGGCCACACGGATTCCAGAAGACGCGAAGATTGAGGCGTATTATGATGAGACAGGAACTGGACTGGAAATCATGGTCCCAAAGCACCGCGTTGGACCAGAGGAGCATGAAGTTCAGGTGTGCATGAGGCCCCCACATTTTGGTGACAACGATCTTGTGCTATCCTAGAACAGGAAAACAGTTAGCTTTTAGATCTCCCAGTGTCATGCTCATGCCATGAGATACTGGAATGTAACAGGTGGTGTCATGGATCAGTAAGAGCCATCATATTTGCTGCTAAACATGTAGCTTATAAGTTGAGAATTCCTTTTTCCCCATAAAAGTTGGTGATTTAGGCAAAAGTTACCCTCCTACCTCTGTTAATTCCCCTCTGTACCTCTGTCACACAAGTACATCACTATTGGTGATCTTCCTTGACTATCTGAAAGCTGGCTAGTTAAGATTCTGTGTATATTCAGATGACCAGGTTCGTAATAATGTTGATGGCTACCTATGATTTTGAGGTTTGGAATCGTGTTGTCGATTTCGAAAATTATTTGAGGTTTGGAAGGGCAGGCCTGGTGCAGCGGTGAGAGCTGTCTCACTGAGTCACCAGGTCGCGGGTTCGAAGCAGCCTCTCCGCAGATTTTGCGGGGGGAAGGCTTGCCTCGGTTTTTCCTTCCCCAGACCCCACTCATATGGGAGCCTCCGGCACTGGGTCTGCCCTTTTAATGATTGCCTTAACCGTTTTAATGTTCCTGTCTCGCTTTCATCAGAGATTGAATCAGAACATGATGTGGTTGCTGTATTCATGATTGATGCACTCATATGTGCGTCATTTCGACTGATTCCTGCTTGCATCCTGGTACTGAACTACTGATGAGAAGCTGGTGTTTTTGCAAACAGTAATCTTATGTTTCCTTCATCAGCCTAGCCTGCAGTTTTGCTCAATCCGAATGCTGCGGATTGTGATGCCTAACCGACCTGTGCCCAACAAAGATCTCTCTCTACTTCGTTGTGAGAAGCAGGATATTTTATGGCTTTTCAGTGGCCGGCACTGCACCATGCCGCCACGCAGTGTAGTTTCCCACGAGACGTCTGTGCAGCGAAAGCAACGTCGAATATGCTTTCAGCGATGCAGCTGATGGTTCTCTCTTCTCTGTGGACAGGAGCAGGCGAATGGATGAGTGGATGCCCGGGTGGCGGGATGACAGCCGGAAACGGGTTTGTTTTGTGCTTTGCGGCCGGTGACGTATCTGCAGCGCTGCCCATGCATCAGAAGAGATCATGACACCAGGACCAGGTGATTTCTGAACATCGATGATGGTGTCTGAACCGAGCTGGCAATCCCATTCTGGTTTTCTGAATAACCATGTGACCAGAACTCCTGCTTGTTCTGGAAAATAAGAACATGTGAGCAGAACGGAAGCGCAGTTACAATCTGTCAGTTCTGTTCCAGATTGAGTGTGGCATGGACGTCAGAAAGGAGATTTGCAAAGCAGTGTTATTATGGCAAGAAAACTGGTGAGTGTTTATGCAAGTGCGTTTCATTGACGAAATGAAACAGGCGCCCGAGTTGAGGTCATGGATCGAAGAGGGAAAAAAACTAAAAGAGATCTAGATTTCGAATGCACGTTGAAAATCTGGGACATGGTACCAATCCGGCACGCACTGGTGTGGCACCCTGAAGATCAGCTGCGCAGTTAAATTCTTGAACTGATCAAAAAAAAAAAAAAACTTCCCTGCTTACTGTGAATTTGGTGCAGAAATCATGCATTCCAAACAGACTCTTTATTCTTTATTCTCTTCCGTAAGATAGAAGGATGACTCAGGGCCAGTTTGAGGTCTTAGCTTTCGTTTGGTGCCGCTCCTAGGAGCCTCGTTTGGTGCTGCTAGATACACATGACATTTTTTTTTTGAATCTCCATAGGCATTTTGACTTTTCTAGATTCATAGCTTTTGCTATGTATTTAGATATACACTATGTTCACATATGTAATGAAAAGAATATGTCTAAAGATGTCAAAACGTCTTATAATTTGGAATGGAGGAGCAATTTTTATCTAAGAGCTCAACTAGTTGTTAGGCCATCAGTTGGCTATCGAGGGCTAATAGCTGAGAAAAAGTCACTTTTACCTCAAATGTGGGAGAGAGGAACTGAAGATGGGGATAATCTAGGTGAGAGAGAGAGAAAAAATTTAGGGCACGCTAATCTTTGGCTAGGTGTCGGGGATCAATACTAGGGTACTCGAAGAGGAGCTAATGATCATCAACATTGATTCATCCGAGCAGTCAAGAACGCGACTACAGCTCCAACAAACCCCTAGGTGGCCTCGCCCGACCTCTGGGGGAGGGCTCCGCCTCGCCCGACCACGAGGTCGTGCGCTCCGCCTCGTCCGACCTCTAGGAGAGGGCTCCAAGGCCGGGGGGCTCCTCCTCGCCGACTCTTGGGTTTGCGCTCGCCCGCCTCGCCCCCCCTAGGAGAGGGCTCCTCCTCGCTCGACCCTTGGGTTTGCGCCCGCTCCGCCTCGACCTCTAGAGAGGGCCTTGCCTTGCCCCCCAAGCCGCGTCAAGCTCCGCTCGCCCGACCCTTGGGTTTGCGCTCCGCCTCGCCTGACCCCGAGGTCGCGGGCTCCGGCTCGTCCGATAGGGTCCCATACCGTCGCCAACCACTCCAAGTCTAAGCGTATGGGCCTGGGTCAAAGCTCTGACACCAAGGAAGAGACCGGCACGCCCCGATGTAACCCGTGGCCATGACGGTCTATGCCTGAGGATTCACATCAAGAACAGCGTCGGGCGTACCGGTGGTGTTCTGCCTAACCCCCGTACGAACACTGACAGGCACGTCAGCTCATCATGACGTCCGCTGCGACGGAATGGAACGCCATGACCGGCAAACGACGCCTGCGCATGGCTCCAGTGGCGGACAGGGCCGCGACGTGGAGCTATCCCTGTTGACATCTACAGGGTCGGTGAGACCCGCATGAAGGATAAGAAGGACCCGGCGATCCTAAAGGACTTCCTCTCTCTCTCTCATTCTTCTCTTTTCCTCCGCTATAACCCGTGTTTTCTCTTAGCCTATAAAAAGGAAAGAAGAGCGTCCCATGGAAGTGATCGACCCATCGAGGACCGATCCGATTCGACCCCGAACCGATCAAATCCAGACACACACAAGAGCAGCAACCGAGCTCTCAGCACCCTTTCACTCCTTTCACTAGAGACTTGGGACATGTCCCTCTCTCGCCTGTTTGTAACCCCTACTATAAACTTTCAGTGCTAGTAACATGAGCGGCAGCGATAAACTGGACGTAGGGACTTTCTGCTCCGAACCAATATAAACCTCGTGTCCTCTATGCACACCATCCGAGCCAGACGTGCAATACTAGAAATTTACTCGTCGGTGGTAACTCGAAACACCGACACTAGAGATCTATATATCAACATTCCATAACTGTTTTTAGCTTGCTTTATTTTAGCGGACTAATTTTTAGTTAGAGATATGGTATGTTTGGATTTTACTAGTACTAATAGTTAGCTAGCTAAGTATTAGCCAAGGTTGTTTGGGTCCACCTGCTAATAGATTGCTAATTAATGGTTGGAGAAGCTCAAACCTATTAGTAGTCCCAAACCTACTAAAGAAACTAATAGTGAATAACCCTTTTAGCTAAATCTCCCTCCATTTCAAATTATAAAATATTTTGGGTTTCTAGATACATAGCTTTGGCTATGCATTTAGATATACACTTAATCTAGGGTATATAGTAAAAAGGAATGTATCTGGAAACGCTAAAATGTGTTATAATTTAGAATGGATGGAGTAGTTAGCTGGTCTATTAACAGCCTTGTTTGGATTTACTAGTATTTATTTTAGCTACTAATTATTAGCACTAGTGGAATTAAACAAACTCTTGAATTAGTCATAGCTCATCAAACATATCCTTCGTGCAATGAGCAGCCAGAGCTTGCTTTAGACGCCATGACTACAGACAGAAGAAGCCCGAAGCTAAAAGGATCCATTGAAATATGGACCGAGATTCAGATTATATATGATGCTCTGATAGCCTTATCACATTACGTATTGATGCTAATCAGATACGGAGTACATTAGTGAACAGGAGTTCAGAGGGCAACGAACTGAATTGAGTAGAGTACTGAGCTCAGCTGCAGATAGGCCACTGACTGCACTAAAATTCAGATAACAATGAACTGAACCGTAGTGGCGGTGCGCCGAGTCCACGAGCGCCTATAAGCGGATAATAAAGCGTCCCCCACCTCCAAGCTCCACACCTCGTCTTCCTCTCCTCCGCGCTCCCGTCCTCTCCACCTCTCGCTCCCACCTCCCACCGCCACCGCCACCACAGCCTCCCCCTCGCCACGCGTTCCCTCCCCGTGCATGAAACCCTAACCCTAAACCCCACCTCACTCCCCGAGCCATCCCCTCACCCCCCGCGGCGATGGCCAAGGCGCTGCTCTCCTCCTCGCTCCTCCCCGCGCTGCCCCGCGCCGCCGGGGGCGGCCGGAGCAGGCCGCTGCTGCTCCCGCCGCTCCGGACGCGGCGCGGCCGGCGCGCCGCCTCCGCGTGCGCGGTGAGGGCGGGCCTGCACGGGCTCGACTCCGTCGGCGGGCCCCACCTCCAGGCCGCGCTGGAGCGCGCCGAGGCGGCGCTCTACACGCTCGCCGACGCCGCGGTCGCCGCGGTGGACGCCGCTGCGGGCGCGGGGGGCGACGCCGACCAGGCGGCTGCGGCGGTCCAGAAGAACGGCGGCTGGTTCGGCTTCATCTCCGAGGCCCTCGAGGTCGTGCTCAAGGTAATGATTGCCTAGTCAATGGACGGGCCCGCGGCTGCTACCACTTACCAGATTCTTTCTGCGGAGAATTGAATCGCGCCCGAATTATGAGTTATGGAAGTGGGACTTCCTGGAGAGTCGAGGGTGAGCACTGAGGGTGTGTACAGTGTACACTGCTAGTCTTGAGCTTCCATGCTCTTGTCTTTGTGAACTCGCCACAACATTGGTCAGTAGGCAGCAATGTTTGGTTCTTTTACCAATTGGTAGTGTTCATTAGGGCTTCTTAGAGATAGAAATGGGTGTTCAGGAAGCTTGTGCAGTTCTACATGGGTTTAGGGAGGCATTTTGCCTCCAAGTGTTTAAACTGGAAATGGTAGAGTTTCGGAGTTATATGGTGTCATACTCATAGTTCACTAGTTAGAACGCTAAGTTTCATAACACTGAAAGCATTGAAATGCTGATACTATCTGAGTCTCACCATACAGGTGCTCAAGGATGGTCTCTCTGCAGTCCATGTGCCATACGCCTACGGGTTTGCCATCATTCTGCTCACTATCATTGTTAAGGCGGTGACGTTGCCTCTAACCAAACAGCAGGTGAATGTTCCAAGATATTTGAATAAACCTGTCCCGTCTCTGGTTCCTGGTTATGGATTTGGTGGATTGATTGCTGTGCTTCTCATCTATTTTAGGTGGAATCAACTCTGGCAATGCAGAATTTACAGCCGCAGATTAAGGCAATCCAGCAGAGATATGCAGGCAACCAGGTTTGGATAGCTGTTGGCCATTTCAATCATCAATCATGCTCCTTACAAGCTTATTTTGGCCTTACCTTTTTTAAATTCTTTTCTTTTGTGTATTTTGATTTCCTGCTTCTATATAATTCTTATTAGGAAAGGATACAGCTAGAGACTGCTCGGTTATATAGGCAAGCTGGTGTCAACCCTTTAGCAGGTTGCTTGAAATTTTCCCTCCTAAACCATACTGACTATTTTTTTGTGTGCTTGGTTTCTGAATAGGAATCCTTTCTTGTCATAGTTTTTTTTCTTTCTGATATAGTCCTCTCTGCCTTGCAAAACCGTGCTTTTATGACAGCATCATCATGATATTATACTTTTTTTCTGACAGGATGTTTTCCAACATTGGCAACAATACCTGTATGGATTGGTCTTTACCAGGCACTTTCAAATGTAGCAAATGAGGTAAGTTTAGTCCAACTGCTTTAAGCTTGCTTGATTAAGTGGCTTTTTGGGCTGAGTGTCTTCTATGGCATGAAGGGGCTGTTCACAGAAGGATTTTTCTGGATTCCGTCACTGGGAGGTCCTACAACAATTGCAGCTCGGCAAAGTGGTTCTGGAATTTCGTGGCTCTTCCCATTTGTGGTATTGAAATTCATCTCATTAACATATAAATTTGTTGTTCAATTCCTGGTTCTGAAAAATAGTTTGATCAATTGCACTTGAGTGATCATACTAGCATGTTGCAACATTGTACTCAATTTAGAATTTTAGATCATACTGATGTGTTGGAACAGTGGCATGTTTCTTTTCATAGTTAGATAGGAAGCACATTCGATGGCATTCAAACAAACAAAAGCTTTCCCATGTGACTAACAGTGTTATTAAGGTGTTGCTTAAGCTCCAAAGCACTGCACGCACGACGCCACAGCTGACGACTCGCCTTAGATCTGTGTGGCGTCCGCCTTACAGTTACAGACAAGGCGTCCAAAAAACGTCGGCATCCGAATCGTGCCAAATCGCTTGTGGTGTGCGGCATTTGAGTGATCTGGGCGGGAAAAAAGTGAGATCCATGGAGAACGGCGGCAAAAATCAAGAGAGAACGAGTGCGGGGGAGAAAGAGAACACGAGAGAGAGAGAGAGAGAGGAGAGGGAGAGGGAGAGGGGGAGGGACACCTGTGCCGATGCATTCTGCCCCGCTGCCGGGAGATGTTGCCGCCTACCTGCTGCCGAGTGAGCGGGAGAGGAACAGGAAGCTGCAGCTCACCCGCGCCGACGCATTCCTCCCCACCGCAGGGAGATGTTACCGCCCGCCTGCTGCCGAGCCGTGCGGCCGCGCCCTCTTCCCCCTCAAGAACGGCGGCAGCTGTCGATCTAAGAGCACTGAGCAGAGCAGTGCATCTGGAGAGGGGCGGAGGAAAGCAGAGCAGTGCATCCTGGCAGAAGCGGAATGGCACTGCAGGGATCGGGAGTTTGAGAGATGGAAAGCTTTCTAGATGAAGCCACGCCAGGAGGGGGAGGGGCACATGGGCTGCCTGATGGACTGGGCCAGCCCATTTCTTACTCCTATTTTATTTTCCTTTTTCCCTTCTTTTTTCTTCATCATCTACTGCTCTAACCTGCTATTTAAAGTTTTCCTTACATTCTTAAGGCGTCACCTTGCCTCACGCTTTAGTCGCTTAAGCGTAAGGCAGTAGTCAGTCGCCACGCCTCGCCTTACCGCCTTGATAACCATGGTGCATAATTTAAATTCCATTGCCTCTTTAGCACCATGGCTGAAATAGTTGGCCATGCAGCAATTTTATTATTATTGTATATCAGAGCCTGACTATACAAGGGTCTATAAGCTTTCATGATTGTGGTATGCAGATATGCTAAACGCCTAAAATATAGCTAACATCTCAACCAAATTATGCAGGATGGTCATCCTCCGCTAGGCTGGCATGACACGATATGCTACCTTGTATTGCCTGTGCTACTTGTTGCTTCTCAGTATGTCTCTATGGAGATCATGAAGCCACCTCAGGTGAATGCTTCCATGTATATTCTTTCATTGGTTATAGTGGCAATTATACACTGCCATGGCTTAACTTGTGATCTATGGTCTGCCGCAGAGTGATGACCCATCACAGAAGAACACACTGCTCATTTTGAAATTTCTTCCATTTATGATTGGCTGGTTCTCTTTGTCAGTGCCATCAGGATTGTCTATTTATTGGTATGTGCATCAGTCTATTTTATTGCTTCATACAAGATCATGAGTTCACAACCCCTTCCCTGCTCACTGAATTTTACAATCAAATTACCAATCAAATCCACGGTTATTTTGTATTGACTCCATGTTTTCCATTAGGCTTACAAACAATGTCCTCAGCACAGCCCAGCAAGTGTGGTTACGGAAAATGGGTGGAGCGAAGCCTGTAGTGAGTGAGGGAGGTAGTGGGATAATTACAGCAGGACGAGCAAAACGCTCTAATGCTCAATCAGCTGGAGAGAGGTGCCTTTGAACTTCATTTTGATGCTTAAACCTCTTCTGTCTTGGCTATAATTTTCACATACAATCTCACAAGCAGGTTTAGGCAGCTAAAAGAAGAAGAGAACAGGAGAAAACTCAGCAAAGTACTTGCTGCAGGAGATTCAAATGCGTCGTCATCAACATATGACATGGAGGATGAAGAGTTAGATGATGAGACCACAGAAGAGGTACTCTTCACCCTTTTTTTCATTATTATAGTTGGGCGGTTGTGAGGCTAGTCATATTCAAAAACACTCCTTGTCCCTACAGCTCCCAAAAAAAAAGTGAAATTCATCCTCTGTTACTCATGTAATCCTGACAGCAGGGAGGGCCTGTGGAGGAAGCATCGAGTACTGGCAGTGACAAGAAACTTCCAAGCTACTCAGGGAAGAAGGGCAAAAGATCGAAGAGGAAGCGCATGGTGCAGTAATCGTTACAGCCTAATTGGATGCAATTTTTGTCACAACTGGTAAGTGCTATTGACCCTCAGGTATTGTTCATGATAAATCTGTCACAAAGAACCAGGGTTGAACTTCTCTGTTCTGCAAAATTCATAGATGGTTCCTACTGTTCCTTTTTTCAGTAAATTTAAATTTTCTTGAAACTCCTCTAAACAGAAAAGCAAAAACTTAACGGTCACTTCCAAATCATATAAAACTAACCAATAATTGAACTTTTTATTCTTCTTCTTTTTGGAAGAAAGGGTACATAATAATAGTTTGCTATTGCAGGTTAATTCAGTTGACCAGTTAGGTGCCACAGTTGATCTCGGAGACAGTTTTGGTGGTCTGTTGGAGGCCTATATTTGAGGTGCAGACAGATAAACAATTTCCGGGGTCACAGGTATTTGCTGCTAAGCTATGCAATGAAAGTAGCTCAGTATATGACTATATGCTAGGCCTGAGGGTAATGGACAGGAGAACAGGAGTCGGGTATATGCACAAGGAGAGAGACAGGAATCTGTAGAAGTAGATAAGATACTCTGGTGTATTCGTTACAAGTTGGGTTCCAAAATTGGGCAGAATCTGGATACCATTCATATGTGTTGTATTTGTTTTCCTCTTGTAACCATTGTTTGGACTTTGGAGGGTATATTGCGCAAGCTGACAACCATCCAGTCATACAAATCAGTTTAATTCAACCTGTCAGAATTGTTTAGAAAATGAACTTGCGCAATACAGGCAGCAGTATGCATTTGGCTCTTTACAGTTATGACACCCTACTTTCTGTAGTGGGAGTGTTGTGTTGTGTCTGTGAGACAGCGAAGAGGCAGGCTTGGCTTGAGAAACCCCAGGGGTTGGTGTGCTCAACTGCAGCCGTCGCATCTGTTGCTCATAGGTGCAGAATAATCATAATCATTGTTTCTACAGGATTTGCAAAAGTAGTATAATAGTATGGCCACTTTAATCGGCGATGACGAAATTGTTGCGCAACCACGCACGCCCATCCGAGTTTGGAGTTCGGAGTTCCTCGTCTTTTGGCGATCAATTTTTGCTGCTAATTGTTATGCCACTTTTTTTTTTTTAAGTTTTCCTCTACTTCTTGGTCCTAAGGTATTGTGTCGAATGAGGATGTCTGAATTCAACTTTGACACACGTTTGTACTTCTTTCATTCAAAGTTTGTTGCTAATACTAATACGTAACAACTTGGAGGAAATCTCGAACTTGATTTCGTACCCCAGGCATTCGCCTCCAGAGCGTTGAATGGTGTGTGTATCTCTGTACGTGTCATGCTCATAAGTCATAACATGACCATGTAGTTGCGAGCAGTAGCCATGATGCATCTACACCGGTTTTTTTCTTTTCTTCGATTTGATCTCGCATCTAGACCGGTTCTGTGGCTCCATACAAAAGCTCTGACCAATGTACCTGCCCACTGTTCTCCCCTCTCCCGCCTCGATCGCCTCGGTTCGGTTACGCAGACAGTGACGCACGTCGAGCATGGAGGTGATTATGGTTGAACGGAAGCGGTTAACCCGTCCTTTGCTTTTACTTTTACAATTTGCGTACAAAGTTAAATAAAAAAAATCGGAAACGGAACCGAATATCCAGGGGATGTTCCCATTTTCACCCACAACGGTGGGCGTGTTTGGCGGACAAGGCTACCAAACAAGGTCAAGGTGTTCGCTTGGCTGTACTTCAAAGACCGGCTCAGCACAAGGGTGAACCTCCATGCAAAACACATCGTCGACGGCGAACAATGAAAGCTTGCTAATAGGCACCGGAGAACAAAGCGACACGCTTTTCTTCGGCTGCGAACAAAGTGATGCGCTGTGTGACTACAATAGGCATGGGCGATGTGGGGACGATGACGGATGATGAAGCATGGGAAGCGAGACACTCCGGCAAATCTAGAAGCGACTCTCCGGCCTTTCATCTTCCCGACTATCTTATGGCGTTCGGGGGCGGTCGGAATGGGTATGTATTCCGTAATGAAAATTTCTGTCATCGCGTGGTTCTTTCGAGAGGGTCTGTGATGACCTTGTAACTTGGCGCAAGCGCCTTCCTCCCCAGCTAGGGAACGCTCATTGGGAATATGCCACCTCCGCTGATTGTACCTCAAACTCTTTTCCACGTCCTACTTAACTTGGGCGTGTGCTTTTGAATGGAAAGGTGGGGAAACTCTCCCCTCCGTTTAGTTCAAAAAAAAAAAAAATTCTGCGAGACTTGCTATCTTTCCAGACATGTGTTTTTGTAAATTTGTGTTGTTTTGTTGCTGGTGATAGTTACTCCTGTGACAGGACAGGATTGGGGAGCATGGGCGGACGCAGTATGTGGACACCCAATAATTTTGAGAAAAAATTACAGGTACTATGCATATACATGTATTATACATATAAATAGACCAAACTCTGTATATATTTGATCCAAGCAAGAGTAAAAATGCCACATTTGTTGCCCCCTACCATCCACCATCCAGCTGGGCCGGCCTGCCAGCCCAAGAATCAAACACACGGAGGGAACCAGCCAACCAGGAGCGATGCCCTCTGCCCGTCCGTGACGGCACCTCCAGGGCTCGCCCCCGCCTGCTTCGACTCACCTTTCCCAATCGACCAAAAAGTCTCGTTCCCCACCTGCGCGCACGTCGCCGCCTGGGGTTTGATTTGGCGGGCATTGGGGCACAGCCAGACACCAGTAGGCGGCACGGCCCACACCCAGAGGCAGCGGCAGTTTCAAACAACAAGTTGAGAGCCACCACATCTAGCCCTCAGTAGACAATAGTAGTTCATCTTTGATTGGTTGTTGCAAATTTGTAATTGATTGGTGGACTGCAAGTGTTGAAAGAGCATTTGATGAACTTCATTAAAGAACAAGCTAAGAAATAGCATTGAGGATCAGTCCTTGAAATGATTGCTTGGTTGCATTCATTGAGAAGCAATCTTTTCTACGTGTTGCTGATGAAGAGATCATCTCTCGATTCCAAAAGCGTCTCCTCGAATAAATTTGTAATGTTTCTTTATTAGTTGAGACTTCACAAATATTGCAAGTATAAATTAATTGTACTAATGTACTCTGCTCTAGTACTGTTTTGCTTTGAATTGATAGACATTTAACTTTACATATGCCATCATGGTTTGGTTCTGTATGTGTATATACTGTACACCCAATTTTCAATTCCCGCGTCCGCCACTGTTGGGGAGGCTCCGTTCAACTCGCCATTACCCTTTTTCTATCCTTCCGTAAGGACAATGAGCAGGCAGCTGACGACCGCCGGCGACGATGAGAGACGAGGCAACTGAAGCTATCATGCACGATGCATGGCTCCTCAACCTCAATGCTCAGCTGAGACAGAGACTGAGACCTCGAGAGGGAGACGACGAGGCGTGCAAGAAAGATTAACGACGGTGCCGTGGTGTACTGGTGTCTCGTCCCCGACACTGACCGCGGCAAAAAAAAAAATTTAACACACGGGGGAGTCTCCTGGATACTCTGGAGCCGCGCGGGAGCCAGCGCTCGAGCCGCGGGCGGGCAGCCTGAGCCCCTGCTCAGCTGACCAACCAAGCCCCCGTTTGGTTCTCTGACCGCGGCAAAACTCATCTCCTTCCCGTCATAACGCGCGGCAATGACCGACGATGACGTCGTGCCATTTAGTTCAGCCGCCGCGCCTGAACGAACTACTCTTCGTCAGGTTGGGCACTTGTTTAAGTCGTTTTTAACATACAACAACTATATTCCCTTTCGTTGAATATAGAACAACTTATTTATGTTGTTTTGCCCTCTTTAATTTTTTTAATAATAATGTTTGCTGTTCAGCCGGTTCTAGGCAACTCTGCTCTGTTTCTTTCTCTCAAGTCTTTTTTTATTTGAGGGAAATCGGAGCTTCATTAATCATGATCAGGGTTACAATAACTGTTTATGATGTCTGTAAGACCAGATGGGGTTATAGGCCACTCCACCACCTGAGAGTTACGCGTTTGGCTTATAAACTGTATTATTTTAGTCAACGAACACTATTTTTCTCTCACAACAAATCAGCCCCAAGTTCCACTAAAGAAACATAGACTAAAACCATCAAAGCTCCGGCTAAGATCTTCCATCTGTCCGATAAGAGGTTAAATCTGACTTCTGGTACGATCGATTGACCCACAGGTTGACAAGTACTTGGCAATCAGTTTCTAATTGAACACTCTGAATACCCAGTTCTCGCGCGAATTGCAGGCCAATGAACTCTCAAGTCCTTACCAAGGAAATGAACTTGCGCACGACCATACTCTTTTCTACTATTCGCTAATAATCAAATAATCAAACGGGTAAGATCATTCATACCGCATCAGTGGGTCATCACATCACAATCGATCCTGAATCGCGAAAAAATAAATCACAATCCATCCTGTGGAACGATGTAAAGAGACATGTATGTATTTAAGTATCCAGCAACTTGTGGGTTAGCGAAATAAACAACGCAGCAGCTGCACGCCTGCACCTGTTCTTCAACAATATACTAGAAGTCTAGAACTGGTAAGAGCACAAGCAAAAGTTGCTTCTTCCATTAACTAATCCTCTACGTCAGCTACATTTGCTTACTACTTGGCTATAAACAAAGCGCCAGCTTTAGCCATTTGAGAGCTAGAGCCAAGAGGGCAGGAGAAGGGGCAAAAAAATCGGCGCCAACAGTTAGACGTCCCATTGGCCAGATGGCGCTGTCCATATAATTGCAGCTTCCTCCGCCAAGCACAAGGGACCGATCGAGCTCTCGCCATCCAAGAATCCCCCTCCTCTCCTCTCGCGTCCTGTCCTGTCCAAGGATCCGGGCGAGAATCTCCGGGGAGGCGGGCGGCGGGGCGCGCGAGCAGCCATGGCCGCGAACGGAGAGGATCTCCGGGGCCGGCTCCTCGGAGTCCGAGACGACGGAGGAACAGTCTGGTGGGACCGGGACGACGACCCTCCGCGAGGCCGCCGGAGCAGCCGCCCGTGGACGGCGCTGGCCATCGCCGCGGCGCTCCTCGCCCTGGCGGGCGTCGTGCTGTTCCTGAGCTCCGGTAGCGACAGGGCCGCCCGTCGTCCCGGTCCCGGCGTCCCCCGTGGCCCCGCGGGCGCCAGGCGGCGGAGCCGGAGCTCGCCGCACGAGGTGGAGTCCGGCGTGGGCGCGGCGGCGGCGGACGACGCGCGGTGCTCGGAGGTGGGCGCCGCGGCGCTGCGCGCGGGCGGCCACGCGGTGGACGCCGCCGTGGCCGCCGCGCTCTGCCTCGGGGTCGTGCACCCCATGTCCAGCGGCCTCGGCGGGGGCGCCTTCATCGTCGTCAGGGACGCCGCCTCCGGCGACGCCGTCGCCTTCGACGCCCGGGAGACCGCGCCGGCCGCCGCCACGCCGGTACGTACTACGTGCGTGCGCTCCGCGCATCGCCTCTCCTCTGTTCTGCTCGTCATTGACTCTTAGTTAGAACCAAGAGCAGGAGGAGAGGACACTGTGCCCTTCGTCCCGACAGGTCCATGACATGTGGGGCCGCATGACACCTGGCCAGCACCAGTTGGGCGCCTGGGCCCCAAGTGTGTAGGGTTGTCCGCCTGTCGCTGTCTGGTGGGCCAGGTACGCTTACGGCACACACACTGAAGCCGATACGACCAGCACCAGGCCACAAATTCCGCTGCATTTCGTTTTTGATTTTTTTTTGGGGAAAGATTTCGTTTTTGATGAGAGGACAGATTCCGCTGCAATTGCCATCGCAAAGACACGCAACCTTAACATTTGCTAGTTTTTCATCTTATAAAGTTAACAAAATCATCACGTGCGCTCGACCACGATGTCACATGCAAACTGCAAGAAAGTTTTTGAATAGAGTCTACTTAAACCCCCACTTTTCATACTTGGTCTACTTTACCCCTAACTATGAAACCGTCTATTTTACCCCCTAAACTTTCCAAAACCGTCTATTTTAGACCCCGTAGGGTTTTTGACACTGGTTGCTACAGTATTATATATTCACTGTGTACATCTACTCATATGGAGTCCAATAAAATTAGATTTTTCATTTTATGATTTTTCTATGACTTTTCAAAAATTCACCGAAAATAAATTTAAAAAAAAAAGAAAATTCAAACCCACCGTTACTGTAGCAACCCATTTTATTCTTCAGAAAAACCATTTTAAACCGCCCGGTAAAATAGACGGTTTTGAAAAGTTCGGTAAAACAGAGGCAGGTTTCATAAGCTTGGGATAAGTAGTATCATCGGAAAGTTGGGAGGTTAAGTAAACTTTTTCCTTTTTGAATAGGGATGTTTCGTACACCTATCCTCAACTAAATGGCTCCAACAACTCAAAGGATCTTCGGAGGTGTTTAAATCTAGAGGCTAAAGTTTAGATGTGTCACATCGACATTAGCACATGTTTATCGTAGTTTTATTGTAGCACCACATTGTCAAATCATAAACTAATAAGCTTAAAATTTTGTCTCGTAAAATAATCGTAATCTATGTAATTAATTATTTTTTAGTTTATATTTAATACTCTACGAGGAAATGCCCTCGGTGGCCTACTCGGCTTTACAGTTCTTACTGTACTTTCTCAGATTTTAAAAAACAAAACAGATCTGGCCCAAAGATCGCATCGATTTCAATCTGCCTTTTGTTATTAGCCACGCGGTCCAGGCACGCCAAAGATCTGAGCAGCACAGCCTCAAACAATCCCATCAAAATGGTAGCCACGAGTACACGAGGGCTCGGAGAACGCGTGGTGCTTTTTTTATTATTAGTGGAATGCTTAAACATTTTTTTCTCGAACGTGCAAACGTATTTCATTAGAGGTGAGAACATCCAAACAGATACGGCATTAGCTACAAGAGAACCCTTATATTTATTGAAGTTTTATAGTTGATAGCATAATATTGTAAGTAATCCCAAGATTACCGACCGAACCCAAGACAACGATTTAACATAAGAGAGAAAAACCGAAGCTATGCTGCTACAAGAGATACATCCGCACAATGGTCGCCAACCAATTTCAAGCAACTCGCGGTAGAACCGCGGTAACCGGTAGCCAAAAGAGAGACAACGAGCTCCAGAGCCTCCGGCGACCGTAATTAATTCAAACCGCCAATGACCGTTTAGCCAAAATTTATGACCGGTAATAAAGCTCAATGTATATGTCAAACATTTCAGCCACCTGCGGATCCAAAATGACCAAAGTGAAGAGGAATGCCCTCGGTGGCCTTACTCGGCTTTCCACAGTTCTTACTGTACCTTGATCAGATTTTAAAAAACGGCGCCCAAAGGCGTCGCCGTTATCGACCCAACAAATGATCTGGCCCAAAGATCATCCTGCGCCGATCGATTTCAATCTGCCTTTTGCCACCATGACGCCGCCACGCGGTCCATGCCACCAGGCGTCGCCAAAGATCTGATGTATGACGACGCGCGCTATCGCGCACCACCCTCATCTCCGCAGCACGCCAAACACCCCACCCTACGAACCGGTCGGAGGAGTGTTGACGCAAGAAGACCGACGGAGCCTTTCTTTGCCGTCCGTGATGACGCGGAACCACCAAATGGTAGCCCACCGCCATTACACTGAGTTTTTATCGGCAGGCGAGGGTCGGGGCCGCCGGTTGAGCCGAGACACGGATCCGGTGCAATGTGGGCGGGATCCGGTGTGTGATGGTCGCTTTTTATTATTAAGAGGCCCTTACGCCGCCGCCCGATCGCGTCGTCGCTGAGCCGCCAGCGCACCCGCCACCGACCAAGCAGATCCGGCCATGGGGCGCCGGATCCGGCGAGGGAGCAGCCCTGCGACCATGCAGCTTCAGCCGTCCGCGAGCCCAACACCGAGGAGAGAGAGGAAGGCTGCGGGGAAAAGAAGGGGAACACGAAAGGGCCTCGCCCGCGCCGTCCTTGCGTCAAGACGGACTCGGACTCCGACGCTGCCTTCGGCGGGCGGCGAGGCTTATGGAGTGGTCATGCGGAGGGGCTTCGGCGGAGGCGCTGGGGAATCTATTTTGTGCCGGCTGAATACACCATGCTTAAACATTACACGTGCTAGTTTTTTATTTGCCATCTACAATCTGATCCAGAACTTGAGAGATCAGAGAGCGGCTGGTATGGTAACCCATCTTGGTCAGTTGTTTCTCTGCCTGCCATCGTATTGTCGGACGGCCTCAGATTAGCTGCTACCACCAACCATCAATTACATGTGCTACTTTTTTCCTGTACATTTTGGACTGTGTTTTTTCGCTGTCGCACTGTAGAAAAAACAATGCGTTTTTAATTTGTTCTAGACGAATTTCGGCTCTTTAATCACAGATTAAAAATAACTAAACGTTCAAAGTAAAACAATAATTACCGCCTTCAGTAATCTCCAGCAGTCTGGAAACGTGCACAGAATGTTTCCCCGCCCAAAGAGAAAATCTTGAACGAACTAAAAGAGCATGTTCTTACTGTGGCTCCGTTTTAAAATTTTTGAAATTCAAAATTTAAAATTTGCAAACAATCTCGAACGTCGACTTGGTCTATATAAAAGTTGTAGTTATCCATGTGATCTGTAACTTTGTAGATGGTAAATCACATTGATAACTGCAACTTTTGTATAGACTATGTCAACATTCGAGGTCGTTCGAAAAATTTAACCTATAAAATTTTAAATGTAAGAAAGTTAAAAGAATTTTTGGTAAATAATTTCAAATGAAAATCTTATCAGTTATAAAGTTGCAGATTGCATTGAGTTCTATAAGTTTTATATAAAGTTTGTATTTATCTGACTTCGTACACAAAAGTTATGAATCTCTTGGGGACAACTAACTCCGGTGCTTGCAAATATGCCTTAGCAAAATGAGCCCGGCCTGACCCGGCCTATGGGCCCGACCTGAGCCCACCGATGGGTTTTAACCTGCCCACGAACCTTACTTGATAGGGCCTGGGCAGAGATCCCGCTGTCTAGAAAATTGTTTCTTCGCCCGAACCCAGACCAAAATACTACTTTTTGCTATTTTGCACTAAAAAATACGCAGGCAACCCACCCAGGTCTAGGCCTGGCCCGAGCCTGGCCCAAAAAATTAGGCCCGACCTACCCAGTGGGACGGTCAACTACCACGTCACATACATTTGCAAGAAATAATAATTAGATAAGAATGCAACTCACATCTATTTTTCTATAAAATTGAACTGATTCTTGTAAAATTCCAGTAAAATTCTTGTGTTGTAAACGGGCCCTCCTAGGATCTTCAGTCACCTACTCGGCTTTACAGTTCAGATTGTACTCCCTCAAATTTTTAAAACGAAAGCAGATTCGCTCCAAGATCGCATCGATTGCAATTTGTCTTTTTTTTTTTTCTGTAGCCACATGGTTCAGGCACGCCCAAGATCTGAACAGCACAGCCTCAAACAAAATCCCATCAAAATGGCAGGTAGCAGTGGCACGAGGGATCGGAGAAAGCGTAGCATTTTTTTTATTAGTGGTCTGTTTTAAATTTGGCTTCAGATGAATTTTACTTCTTTAATTACAGGTTAAAAATAACTTAACGTCCAAAGCAAAACAACAATTACCGCCTTTAGTAAGTTCCTACAGTGTCGAAATGTGCACAGAATGTTTTCCCGCCAAAAAGAGAAATTTGAACAAAGTAAAACAGCATCTTCTTAGGCGTGTTTGGTTTCACCTCTAAACTTTAGTCGCTGTTTCATCGGATGTTTGACATATACATAAAATATTAAATATAGATTATTTACGAAACTAAATGCACATATTAAGACTATTTTGCGAGATGAATCTTTTAAGCCTAATTAGTCTATGATTTAACAATATGTTGCTATAGTAAACATATGTTACTGTCAGATTAATTAGACTTAATAAATTTATCACACGGATTACTAATAAATTCTATAATTTGTTTTTTTTATTAGTATCCGAACGTCCATACAACACAACACCCCTGTATGACACTTTCTTTAGTCGCCGGATCCCAACACCTGTTACTGCAGCTTTGGTTTTGTGCAAACACCAGGACATGTACGCCGCAGACCCGACGACAAAGTACAGGGGCGCGCTCGCCATGGGCGTCCCGGGCGAGCTCGCGGGCCTCCACGCCACGTGGACGCGGTACGGGCGGCTGCCGTGGCGGGACCTCGTGGCGCCGGCGATCCGCCTGGCCCGGGACGGCTACGAGGTGGTCGCGTACGTGGCCCGCGCGCTCAGGGAGAGCGAGGACGCCGTGCTCGCGGACCCCGGCCTGCGCGCCGTGTTCGCGCCGGCGGGGAAGGTGCTGGCGGCCGGGGAGACGTGCCGCAACCCGGCGCTCGCGGCCACGCTGGAGCGCGTGGCGGAGGAGGGCGCCGCGGCGCTCTACGGTGGCGCCGTCGGGGAGGACTTGGTCCGCGACGTCAGGGCGGCCGGCGGGATCCTGACGGTGGACGACCTCAGAGGGTACGAGGGGGAGGTGAGCGAAGCCATGCGCGCCGACGCCATGGGGTACACCTTCCTCGGCATGCCGCCGCCGTCCAGCGGCACCGTCGGGATGGCGCTGGTCAGTGCTTGCTCCTGCTGCAACGATTCGATCGATTCAAATGCGAGAAGCGACGTGCATTTATTTTTTTTCTTGGTTCATTCGTATGATCGATGCAGATCCTGAACATCTTGCGAGGGTACAAATCGCTCGAGTTCTTGAAGGGGTTCCTTGGCATCCACCGGATCATCGAATCTATCAAGCACATGCTAGCCATCCGGATGGACCTCGGCGACCCTGACTTCGTGAACGTGACCGGCGACGTCGCCGCGATGCTGTCGAGGCCATTCGCCGACAAAGTCCGGCAAAGGATCGTTGACAACACGACGTTCCCTCCCGGCTACTACTTCCCCAAGTATGCCTACCTAATTACATTGCTTCCGTCAATTTCAACGGTCATCAGAGAGATTAATGAACTCTGTTGTGGTTTGCGGCACTGGCATCAGATGGAGGCAGCTGGATGACCACGGCACCAGCCACCTGTGCGTGGTGGACGGCGACCGGAACGTGGTGGCGATGACGACGACCGTGAACGACTACTTCGGCGCCAAGGTGCTGTCGCCGTCGACGGGCATCGTGCTGAACAACGAGATGGACGACTTCTCCGTCCCAGCGAAGTGGACGCCGGACCACCTCCCGCCCGCGCCGGCCAACTTCATAGCGCCCGGGAAACGGCCGCTGTCCTCCATGACGCCGCTGATCATACTCAAGGTACAATTCGCGTGCCGCCGTCTGGCTTGCATCGCATGAGTCCGTCGTCGTTCTGACGGCACGAGCACGTCTCGCTTCATATACTGAAATGAAAGCCGTGGACCTGTCCGCAGAACGGCCAGCTCGCCGGCGTCCTCGGAGGCAGCGGGGGCACGAACATCATCGCCACGGTGACCCAGGTGTTCCTGAACCACTTCGTCGTCGGCATGGACCCTCTGGCCGCCGTGCAGCAGCCCAGGGTGTACCACAAGGTATCAATCAAACACAGTCAGGACGGCCATGGCAAGGCCCTGCTTCGCTCGACGAGTGAACAATGTGCTGTTCCTTTTTCCTGCAGCTGATCCCGAACGTGGTGACGTACGAGAACCTGACGGTGCCCGACGGCGAGGTGATCGCGCTGAGCGGCGCGGCGAGGGCGTTCCTGGAGGAGAGGGGGCACTGGCTGAGGAGCACGGAATCGGGCGCCGTATGCCAGTTCATCGTGCACGAGCTGGCGGAGCCGCCGGCCGCGCCGGGCCACGGCGTCTTCCGCGGGAGGCTCACCGCCGTGAGCGACCCCAGGAAGGGCGGCAGCCCTGCGGGGTTGTGATGGGGGCTGGTGCGCGTAGGCTAGCTGCACCTTCCATGCATGTGTATAGATCGTGTCATAGACATCATGCATTGTTGTTGTCCATTCACACGGACTCACGGAGAATAGAGAAAGATGACATATTTTCTCTCTCTTTGGTTTATTTATATAGCACAGATGGGAATCCATCAAACTGCTTTTGTGTGAATAAAACTTTTGGTGTTTTTTCTCAAGCTCGATCGACTTAATTTAAACTTTCATCCATCTTGATCCCCCTGCACCCGCCTCCCAATCCCAAAGAAAAAACTGTTTTCTTCTGCTCTTGTTCTGATTTTGAATGTGATTATAGGATAATTTTAAATGGGCCAATCAATGAAGTCCGGCACACGAATCAGCCTGTCCCATCAGCAGCACAGGCCGGGAAACATACGTCTGGGTCTGGGCCTTACGGATTCATGGGCAGTCCAAAGTGCAGAGGCGCCGCGGCGGATCGCCGGCGAGCGGCTAGTCTTTCTCACGAATGCGCCAAAAGTAAATCGAAATTTCATCTGCTTGTTGCGAGATTTTTTGTATGCATGCGCTTCTGTATGCGTGGTTCAATTTGTGAAAGAATTGCTAAATTCTACGCATTGCATTTCCAGTTACAGACTTGAATTCTTACAAACGCAAATTTGAAAAAAAAAAACTCAGACGGTCAGACGGAGCTTGGCCCTGTGGGCATGGGGTCTGGACTCTGGATGCTTGACTCGTGGTCGGCAACCGGACGTGGTCGCCAACCGGACTGGAAAGCGACCCGACGGCGTCGTGTCAGGTCCGACAGCCTGTTGAGGCACGTGTCGGCGAGCGTGACAGCGGCGGCAGAATCGGGCCTCCACGTCCGTATCCGTATCCATCCATCCATCCATCCATCAAACACGGAGGAGAGAGGAGCGGCGGCAGAATCGGCCTCCACGTCCGTATCCGTATCCATCCATCCAGGAGGAGAGAGAGAGAGGAGCGATTATTTTGGACCAGTTCCACCGCTTCTCTTAATTTGCAGGACCACCGCCGCCGAACGGCCACCGCCCGCGGCGCCCGCCGATCACCCCCCGGCGTGCGCGGACATGGGGCGCCGCGGCTCCTCCGACCGCCTCGAGGCGCTCTCCCTCGAGATCGAGCGCAAGCTGCAGAAGGTAACCCACCGCTTCCCCCGCGTGCGCTGGCTCGGCTCGGCTCGGCGCGCTCGCTGCTCTGATTTCGCGGCGCCTGTTGTTCCGGCGCCGGTGCTCGTATCGTAGGCTTGCTGAATATTCCGTCAATTTGTGTTCGTCGCGCTTAATCCGAGGCTCAATCTCTCCAGCGCGCATTCGCTCACGTCGCTTCGCGAGAAATTCGAGGGCGGGCGGGGGGATTGTGGCGGCCGTAGACTGTAGGTTAGGCGAGGTGGCTCCGCGCAAGCAGACAGGATCGCGTCTGGGTGCACCGTGCTGTGGGCGGCCGCGATGGCGACGGCACACAGGAGGATAATGGACTTTATTCTCACCTGCTCGGTTGCTCCTGTTACTCTCGCAGATTACCCCCCCAAACCACCTTTGTTGCAGCTTTTTTTTTTTTTGGGTAGCATTGACTGTCCTTTCAAATATCCCTTTTGCGCTGCATATATTGTGGTTTTGATGTAAAAAAAGGCCAATATTATTATCTGAAACGATTTAGGCAACAAGAGTCGTTTCACTGATAGGTGACACATCTATGTAAGATATATATACTGTCTATATTCCGTTGTTGAGTGGTTGAGATCATAATGTCACCTTCTGAAACTTTGAGGGCTGTGTACATCTTGATATGCAGAGGTTGGAAGTTATTTCAAATAATTGTATCACTTACTAGATGCAATAATCTTGTTTTCAATAAAGCTTCCTTAATGAAAAAAAGATCATAATGTCACCTGGTTGACTATCTTCCATGCAGGCTCTGATCTCCAACTCACAGCGTCTTCAGATACTTCAGCAATTGTTTGCTGACATTGCATTGAAGGTGGATGATCGTGCTCGAGGTGCCATATCTTTGCATACTTTTGGCTGCTAATTTCCTCGGTCTTTTCTTTCCATATATATTAGATGCTTAATGCTTGATAAGTTGCTATTGATAATATTGCTTGGAACTTGGAAGTACTCTGCAAGTTGCTTTTGCTACTGCAGAAGTTGTATGGGCTTGCAACTATGATGATATGGTAGTCAAAAAGGAAATAATAGAACAGATGTTGTGAACATGCCATTTCCAAATTGTTATATTGAGATAGATACACTAGACTATCGATTCATTTCATGACAAAATGTATCTTTTGACGGAATAGTAAGTTCTTTGCATCTGTCTGCTGTAGTGCTGTTCTCATATTGGCTGCTTTGAACTGGTATAACATGCACTATTTCTGCTTCAGAAAGTGACAACCTGTATCATTATCTTATGTTTATGTGATGCTAATTACTAGGATTGAGCTCAGATTGTGTGCTCCATGGTTTCTATAGACATGTTCATCAGGCAATACATTCGGTTGGCACATTCACATTATCACATAGGATGAGCAGAGCAATTGAAAGGAATTTAACCAATTTCTCACTTGCAACAATACTACAATAGTAACACATTTGTTGCATTTTGGATTTCCTTGAGTCGACAACGTACTATATTTTGTTGTTGTATAATCTCTTTACATTAAGTCACAACTTCCTCTTATGATAAATAAATTCTTTTAAGATTATGCGGTCTACATTCACTGCTGATTTTTATAGACCCTGAGGCACACTTGTGTGCCGTTTCTTGAATCCTAGAATAATGAACTGCATTATACTTCAACAGATGCGATTATGAGTGAGAATGATGATGGCATTGCTCCAGTAGATGAACGGGAAGATGGTTGGCTATGCTTCTATGAGATTCTTGCAAATCATTTTGTTAAAGTGCCTGAAAGTGGCAGGCGTATACTTGAGTTGATAGTGCAACTCTGGAGCCAGTCCTTCGCGTCCAACATATTTGCACTTCTTTTCCACAAATGGGTATGTTGTGTTACTCAGTTAACAAATGGTCGGAGGATGTATATACAGGCCCAATTACATTATTAACATACCATGGTTTCTATTTCGAGTTCATATCCTTTAAAGTAATCATTAAGTTATCAGAAAAGAAAACATGCAGTTTAGGTTGACTTGTAACATCAACCATCAGTCAGAAAAGTTAATTTCAGGATGGAATAAAATATAATTTGATTTTCCATTGATTATTCCTTGAAAAGATATGGTTATCCCAATATAGGTACATCGATATTTAAACTTTTTTTTTACTAATTACAATTTTGTTATGTAGTTGTTCGAAGCCCCTCTTGATGAAAAGGAAATATCGCTACGATATAGCTCTGCTCTTGTTCAAGGTGCTACAAATGTATTTTGGTATGATTGCAAAAATAAAAAGCCATCATTATTATTAATGCTTTTTTAACCTCAGCTATTTTCTGCTACAGTTGAGAACATATCGTGGTTCTCTTTTATTCTTTTTTTTTCTGCTTGAAACTGCCACTGTCTAAATAATATTTTTTTGATAGGATTGACATACAGACAAATACAAGACATTTTCTCTCTTTGTATCATGTAAGCGCTGGCTTGATTCCTCATGATTTATCTCATTTCGAAATTACTCTCCACTCTCCATGTGTATTTGCACCACTTACGTTTTTTTCTTTTATTATTGAACAGTATCTCCTTGAGGATGTTGCTCTAGTCCCTGACCGACTTACTAAAATATCATTACAGGTTATTCTCTCTTCATAGTTCTACTGTACTTCTTTTCTCCTAACAATGTCCAAGGCTATGTTATCTCTTTTCTCCTAACAATTTTCATCATTACTCCATAGGCTGGTAGAGACCTTTTCCTTCTGCTCTCTAGATTCATGTTCTTCTATGATCAAGGTAGGTGCCCTTTTTGTATCTTCTTAAGGCCGAATGCTTATTATGTACTACTAAAGTGTTGCAATTTTGGGTATGCAGATCCCTTGCTTTCTAGTTTCCTAGAGCATTTCCCCACTTTTCCAAATTCCTTCTTGGTTGGTGGACCAGCAGATTACTTTGTAATTGAACTCACTGATCTGGTTGGTCTCTTTGTGATACAGATGTGCTATTCTGTTCATCTGATGACGAGATGTATCATCATCAGCTAAAACTAACTGCTTTGGTCTTCACTGCAGCTTCAAAAGCTAAAAATTGAGCCAGTACTACTGCACTACCTCTCCTGCATGAGCATACTTCAAGGTACTAACTACCCTGGATATGTTTCCAAAGGAGTCAGGCACACACTAATGTTATGATTCCGTTCATCTGCTGCAAGGTCAATTTTATTTAAGCAATGACTTAATTCATGCAGGGCTGGAACTGAGATTGAGTACAAGCACCAGATTAAAGGCCTGCCTCTACAGCTTCACTTCTCCTGGTGGCCCTACGTACCCAACACGTGCGGTGCGGCATGCAGCCTGGAATACATTGGATTTGCTGTTCCCTGTGAGTACCGCATTTTCTCCAATCTTAGTACAGTTATGAATTCACAGTACTATTTGTTCCTATGGCAATTTGCCTTGAAATTAAATATGGTTTTATTTGATACATCTATGTTGGTGATACATATTTTTTCCAGTGGACGCATATGTAGCAAAAAATGCTGAAGTAGATGTCTAGATGATATACTGTGTTTTTGTGATACCAAACAGACCTGGTGATTAAGGCTAGGAATGTCATAGATTAATAGGCAGAGCCCTTTTGCAATCAACCAATCATTGCTTGCTTTCTCTATGCCGTTGCCTCTCCGTTGTTGCCAATAAACTGTCTTAGATTGATCCACATACTTCATTTATTCAATTCACCACTATAATTTGGTAAAAGGATAATATGATGCCTCTCCTGGTTGGTCATCATGGGGTTGTTGGTTGGCTACAGATCGGTCGTTACCCAAGGCATGTGATCAGCCTGTTCTTCCGGCTGCTGTATCCGTGGTACTGGCCTTCCTCTTGCTGGAACTTCGTGATGACCTGTGCCATGACTGTCTACTACTACATCCTAAACCTGCTGGTGTCTAGTTGGGAGAAACTGAGGCGGCCCAGTCACCGGAGAACGCATGGTGAATGAAGACGTGGCAGCCCAACTAGTCGCACCTTGTGTTGTTGTTGTTGTTGTTCATTTTCTTTCGTTTGCGCAAGCAGTGTTGTAGTAAGTAGTAGCAGCTTATGCGTTTGTCCAAACAGCATGTCCTGTATAAGCTGCTGTGTTCGTTCAGTTGTTGATATAGGAAGAAGTAAAATGGTAATGAAGGAGAGCATGTGCATTTCTGGCTTCGTTTCTCAGGAACTCATCTGCAGTGTCCTGCACCCATTCATCTCCAAAATCTTTGGACGGACTATGGACAGACTCCAGAAGGATTGCCCAGTAGTACTACTTGCTTTGTGTAGATGGAAGTTGAGCTGCCTCCTGCTGCTTTTTGTTTACTTGGGTTGCTGGATACCAGTCACACTAATTGATCCAGGTCTTTGATTTATATATTTTTGGACTGCGTTGAGCTTAACTTGAATGACTGTAAAGATCAAGAGATATAAATCTTCTGTCATCCGTTTGGAGGACATGGTCTCCGTTGGGATTAAGTTGCTTGCTGCCAGTTTTTGCACTCCCTCCGTCCACAAAAGATGCAACAATGGTATCCGTGCCCGTTCATCTAACTAAAGTTTTATCAAGTTTATAGTAAATAAATAGTATTAGCATTTATATCTTAAATAAACTTATTGTGAAAATATATTCTATAACTAATCTAATGACACTTATTTTGTATCATAAATGTTTGTACTCTTTATATACATTCAGTCAAAGTATAGACTGTTTAACTCTTTGAAAAACAAGAATTGATTTTTTTTTTTGAGTGGACGGAGGGAGTACCTGCTACCAAGGGAAGCAATCAATATATTGCTTGGTACTTTGTACTGTTACATTCCCTGGATAGTGGGATCAGTAGTTTGCACTCCTCATTCTCGCGTTCTGAGGGTCTTCATTCACTTCTTCATGCAGCATGGAATGCTTCATGCGAATACTTCATTTACAGCGACCCTTGTTTACATGTTCAGTACACCTGGTACAGATTCTGGGTTATAATCTTGATATACGGTGGTCATATTTGACTCCAAAGATCTGGCTGCAAAAGAATGAAGGCAGAGCTTGGTTCAGAAACACTGAAATACTGTAGTCAAGTACTGTGCTGTTGGCCCACATGCTCCTCCTTACCAGGGCTTAGACTGACCTAATCTTGTTGACAGACACTAATGCACGCCCCAGTTTCAGTGCTTTATGAAGGTTCGACAGGTCACCTCAGCTTTGGCGTTCTACTTTTACCCAAAGCCCATGCATTTCTCTCTTTTGCGTTAATCTTCACCCAGAGTTTCTTGCAATGACTAGCTAGTTTGGTAATAACCACTGACAGACAGCTAACTCTTCTGTGTTGGCAGGTGAAAAGGTATAACTTCCATTATTCTTCACCCAAATTTTCATCCATTTATTTATTGGTTATTGCTACTGGGCAAAGTCTGCACGGTTGTTCCCCTTTAGTATCCAGTCCTTTTTGGTAAGGCTCCTGCTCATAGTTGCCAACAAGGGTACCACATGTACAGTATGTAGGAGTACTTGTGATTAGTGTAGCTGTCAACAGTATGCCCATCTGAAGACAGCGTTATTCTTGGAGTACCTTAGCTATCATCCTATCCAGGCTGTGTATGGCCTTTGTTTAAATTCAGAATGTAAAGTTTGGGGGTGTCACGTGGGGTGTTTGGATATTAATAAAAAAATTCAAATTACATAATCCTCCGTCTTACAAATTAGTCGTAAACTGTATAATTAGTTATTTTTTAGTCTATATTTAATAGACATGCATCTAAATATTCGATAAGATAGGGAGTAAATTTTAAGGAGAGGAACTAAACAAGGCCTATGTTCCTGATTGGTGAGCCAGTTATGTTATTAGAGGCAGAGGCTGGGGTACCCCTCCCGCTTCAATTTGGATGCTTAATTAGGGGACCAGATTCTAGTCTGGCCGGTGCCGTCCCTCACCTTCCCAGCGAGAGCGCCACCCGCGGCTTGAACCTGGGACCTCCGTTTCCGGAGGTTGGTCACTTGACCATCCGACCGAGCACCCTCCCCTGAGCCCGTTATGTTAAGCTCAGTGTTTCATTCCTCCACCCAACTTGGCATGCTGCCATTTAATTCTGTGCTTGCTTCGGATCTAGCTGGGGGTTATGCCTGTTTAGTTCTTTCTCTAAATTTACTTTCTATTTCATTGAATGTTTGGATATATGGAGTATTAAATATAGATTAAAAAATAACTAATTGTACAATTTACGACTAATTTGCGAGACGGATCTTTTAAGCCTAATTAGTCCATGATTTGACAATGTGGTGCTACAGTAACGTATGTGCTAATGTCGAATTAATTAGGCTTAATAAATTCGTCTCTCGGATTACTGACGGATTCTGTAATTTATTTTTTTATTAGTATCTGAACACTCCATGCAATATCTCGATGTGACGTCCAAAAACTTTATACTCTGAATTTAAACAAAGCCTATGGTTGCTCATAAGAGTCCCACAGTGATAGTGATAGGATAGGATCCACTTACCTTATTGCTGCTTTCAGTAGTGACACCATGGCTAGCTAGCTCGATTAGCTGGTGGTGATGGACCAGCACCATTTAAACCAGCAGGTTCCTGTTTTGGAGTAGTGAGCATCGATCAAGGAACTCCTTAATTAGAGCTTGGATCTGGGATCGTTCTGGTCCGGTCTCCAATCCGGACGCTCGCTCACCTGTCGCCTCCACGCGTCTCCGTGCAATGAGATGAGCAGCTAGATCTGGGCAAATTTTATCGAGAACCGAGAACCGAACCGAACTAACCGAGAACCGATATTTCGGTTACCTATTCAGTTCTCAGTTCTTAGGAACCGAACTTTGTTCGGTTAAATCGGTTCCTCCTCTCGGTTAACCGAAATAACCGAAGAACCGAAATCGATGGGAGGAACTTCTACATCGGTACCTAGAGATCAGTAATTGCGTTGTGAACTTGTGATTTGCATATATTGCCATGTCATTTATGCCTTGAAAACAACCAAAATGCTGCTGAATTTTTCTAATGTAACATGTTCAATAAATGGTCGGTTAGTTCGGTTGGATCCGAGAACCGAACCGAACTAATCGAAACCGAACTTGGTCGGTACCGAGTTTTTTTAAGAACCGATCGGTACCGAGTTTTCTGAGAACCGAATTTCCTCAAAAACCGAAGAACCGATCGGTTCGGTTCGATAAAACCGAACTCCCAGGCCTATGAGCAGCTAGCGTTAGCTTGCTGTGCTGTGCAGCCGTGGAGCCGTGGAGCTAGCGTAGCAGGCAGCAGCAGCTGCTGCTGCACATGGATGGATGCCTCTATGTGGCGCCTTCAATTTGCCATGTTCCCCCGTGGGCCGTGCATGGTGGGGAAGTGCGGCCAACGGAACCAACCATTCGAGACGGCGACAGAAGCTCTGCCTTGGCCACTAACTGACTACAAGGAAAAAGAAACCAAAAGCTGAAACATCGCCATTTAATCAAAAACTCTATGGTGGTACACGTACAAATAGAAAAGGAACGGCCACGTCATTATCTGCAATGCAATGCAGGAGGCCGGGACTGACAGCAGCGCCTCGCTGAAGCGCTCCACGTCAATGCAGATGCAGATGCAGGTGCCATGCTACCTGCTGTCTGCTGAACTAGTGTCCGATCGAGCTCTGAAGGAAGACGCCGGCCGGAGCCGGACACATGGCACTGCAATTTGCATTGAAGCATCTGTCTCTGCCGCCTTTTTCCTCTCAAAATTCCAATCTCCCTTCCGTACTTTTCAGCGAACGATAAAAAATCAACATAAGCCAAATTTTAACCAACCGTCCATGCTGCTAGGACGAGCTAGGGGGATTTTGATGTCAGTCCAGACTCTAAAGGCCCGATTGCCTAGTGGTGTACTACAAATGCTTAGTTAGATGGAAGTTGAGCTATTCGGCTGATGGTTTCTACATCTGATAAGCTGGCTGAAGCTGATTTGTTATGAGAGGAAAACATTTTTCAATGACTGATAAGCCAGGTTAATAAGTTCAAACGAACAGGACTGCGTTGCTGCCAGTTGAGGTCCTGGTTCGGTGTAAAGGTCTAGAGATACAAATATATATATATATATATATATATGTTATTTGGCAACTGGCCATATAATAACTTATTCTATAGTCACCTTGATTTACGATAATATTTGTACCAATTTACGATAACATGAATATGCATTTTTACGATACTCATGTTACTACAACTCACAGTGATATTTACGATAATGTTACAGTAAATCACTTAGTAAGAAGTTACTGTAATCTTGTAAATTAGCATGGTAATTATCGTAATTCAAAGTGGCCACATAATAAGTTATTCTCAGGCCAACCGCAGAACAGTAGTTGGGTAAGGCTATTCTACAGCTGGTCATAGAATAACTTATTCTATAGCCACCTTGATTTACAATAATGTTTGTACCAATTTACGATAACATGAATATACATTTACCATACTCGTGTTACTACAACTCACGGTGATATTTACCATAATGTTATAGTAAATCACTTAGTAAGGAGTTACTGTAATCTTGTAAATTAGAATAGTAATTATCGTAACTCAAAGTGGCTACAGAATAAGTTATTCTAGGGCCAGCTGCAGAACAGTAGTTATATATATTCTGAATGTTCTAAGCTAGCATTGTTCTTGGAAGTACCTTATTAGCTATCCTATATCCAGGTGTGGGTGTGGGTGTGGGGTAATATCCAGACAGTGAGCCGTGGCAGACACGTGCATGGTGCACAGCCCGGAGATGAGCAGCGTTAGGTTTGCTGTAGTGCAGCCGTGCAGCGGCAGCTGCACATGGCAATGTAGCCTTCAGCCTTGTGGTGTGTTCGCTGCCTTTGGCCGGCCTAGCTACCCCGTGGGGACTGGGCCGGGGAGTGGGACGGAAGCACTCTGCATGTCTACGTTCCTAGAGGGTGAGTGTGTGCCTGTGTACATGGAATAAGCAAGAGTAGGAAAATGATATGG